AAAACCCGAACCCCACCTCATCAGATCACGAACAAACACCATTTAAGCAAATCCTCAAATGATTAGCCTCATTGACCTCATACAGGTCAATATTCCTTAAATCCACCACGAAACCAAAAAAAACAACAAAAAACCGTTTGACAAAACCATAAAAAAAAAAAAAAAACACCCTTAAATCACCGCATCACATTCCAAATCAAAACCCCAAAACAGAAACAGCGCCGTTCCAATCCAACAAACCCAGGACAATAGATAGAAAGGAAAAAAAACTAACCGCTATCCCCAATCAAGAGAAGCTTAATCAAGTAGTCATAATCAGCCCGGGCCCTTGCTGGCGGTGCAGCCATCGCTTGTTTTCTCTTTGAATTCAAAAAAGAAAGAGAAAAGAAAGAAATGAACAATAATAGTCCCTTATAAATGAAACCAAAACGAGATCAAAAATCGAAAACAGGGAAAGATAGATCACCTTCTTTTTAGGTTAGCAAATGAAAAGAAAGAGAAAGACTGTGTCCAATGCGTTTGGGACTTTTTGTCTCTGTCTCTCTCTCTCTCCGCGTAATATTACGTTTCTACTTTTCAAAGGATGTATTCTGCCAATGACAGTGAACGTGGACTTTTTTTAAGATGGACTTGGTTGTCTTAGATCCTTCCTCTTCGTTAAATGCTTAATCATTATTAGATAATTAGATTTATAATTATATTCGATTGCCAATCATGCTCAGCTAGTTTTTGATATTATGTGAGCTAAATGGTTGATTTTTATCTGAAAATATATTAAAATAATAATTTTTAAAAATTTAATTTTGATATTAAGATTTTAAATTAATTTAAAAATATAAAAAAATAAAATTTTAAAATAAACAAGTGTGTTGCTTAGCCAAGCCCGCTGTATTACTGAACTATACAAATTCATTTTTTATTAATAAAGTTAAACATCTGATCACATCATATTTCTTTTTATTATTATTATTATAATGAATTGGTTCTTATATCTTTTCTTTTGGAAAAGTTCTCGATATCCTTACCATGAAAGTTCATTTTTCAAAATGAATTTATTATATTGGTTAAGAAATTATGTAAATTTGTCATCCAATTGTACTGTGTAATATTTTCATAGGATATTTTTTTTAAAATTCTTATTAAGAGGTTATTTATTTTTTGTATTTCAAAAATATTTTTTAGAAAAAAAAATTTATTTATTTTTTTCTTTACTTTAAATTCTTTTTTCTTTTTTATTATTTTAATGTATTGATATTAAAAATAAATTTTAAAAAATAAAAAAATATTATTTTAATACATTTTCAAAAATAATAATTATCATAATATCAAAATTCAATAATACTATTATAGCATTCACCATAATAGATGCTTACATGAATACAAAGTTAACATTTATTTTGATATAAATCTAATGATTAAAAAACCTATAGCGTAGCAAATCCGTGTCAATAAGAATTTCTTCTTTATCGTTTTAAGTGATTACTTTAAATTAGTAGATCATCTAAGAATTTAAATTGTGTTATGATTTTAGTTTTGATTGTGATAATTTTGATCGGGTTAAAAATATTTAAAAAATATATTATAATTTTTCGGTTAATATTATATTTTAAAAGATATATAAATCTACATGGATAAGATATTTTATATTTCAATCAAACTCTCCAAAATTTTAGATATTATCTTGCAAGAATATCATAATTGCTCGATTTTCATAGTCAACGTTTCAACTTATTGACTTTTTTTTCCATCCAATAAAATTAAGCAATTCAAATTTTTGTTTAATGGGTAATCAATTTAAATTATAAACCTAATATCCTGTATTAGATTATTTTTCGCTTTTCTTTTCATAGGTTTGCATGTGGGGCCTCCATATGAATCCATTTCAAGTAAAGCTTGGTTTGTGTTTGCTAACACCGTAATAATCTTTTTTCGAAAAAAATATCTAAAAATAGATTAAAATAATATTTATTTTTTATTTTTTAAAATTAAAAAAATTATCTAAAAAATTAATTTAATATTTTTTAAAACAAAAGGAAGCCTGGAACAATATTTTGAAAAACGAGTTTAACCGCATCAACTGCTTTCGTTAAATTAGAAGTTGGTAGTCAATGCTGGTTAATATACTCACCGGAGATTCATTTAATCTCGGTGAAAATCAAGCATTTCAAGATGACTCGAGACGGAGGGGTTTTGTATCAAATGAACAAACGATAAACATGGGCGAGGCAGACGCTATTGGCGTAGATGACGCATGTGAACATCTCCACTAGCATTTTTAATCATTCGAGTATGTCTTCCACTGTTTTTTCGTAAAAATCTGGAGGCACCATATGGCACATATATACCTGAACGGATCCAAATCTCCAGTCACTGCTTAAGTAGATTGGCTCAGAATCCACAAATGGTCTGGGATCATTCTTGCTGAATATCAAGTAACTAATCAAACTGTTTCGGAAGATATCGCATCTATGTCAAAATACACTATGCAAATTCGGTGGTTTTGATTTCTTTTCAAAGACCAAGTAGGATTTCCCTTGTTTAAATGGACTGTACGTAGCACATAAGCATAAACTATTAGGGTGATATGCGAAACGCCGTTGTTCAAACTTAACCTGTTGTAGAAAAATGAAGTCCTTTTTTTAAAAAAAAGAAGAAGAAAGAAGTCCAGCTGTTAAAGTTAACAAGATGAATCGCACAGGAATTACACCAGACCAGCTTAATGCAGTGTATATCCAATTCCTGGCGCCAAGCTTGGAATACCTAGTGGCCAGAGAGAACTACACTACAGCCCAGAATATCTTAGGTAGATTCCACAAACGCCTTAGGGCTCTCATGAAATATTTAAAAGTTAGCAAAAAGTGAAAAGCAATGACAATGCAAAAAAGTTGTGCTTCAAAGTATATGCTTAGAAGATCCTCTCCCGCACCATGACTACACCTACAAAACCCCCACAACCACCACCCCAATAAATCTCCCTTCAATCCTCTCCATGGCTGTATCTCTCCAATATTTCGGTTTTCTGCTGGAATCCTTCCCAGAGTCCCTTTACATGGGTTTCAAGGCCAGTTGTTGCAGTGAGAGCGGCGATGGAAGCTGTGACAAGCAAAAATGAAGAGGATTATCATTTTAAGTAAGGTCATGATGGTTTTTATACGGTCAGGGCAACTACTATCCTTTGGCAATGCATCATATCACTATGGCTTGACAAATTATTAAGCCATTCTTAACATTCTGTATCATCTTTGCCTTTATTCTACCTTCAGCTTATTTCGTGTATTAGAAAAGGAACAAGGAATTCAGTTTCCACGTGCCTTCTTTTATTTCATCATTATTCTGTCTAGGGTTTGTATCATGCTGTTGTTCCCGAATCAATAAATAGCTTGTGTTAAACATCCTGTGAATGGGAATCTCTTTCTATTATTTTCCGTTTGTTTTGTCATCTTCGTTTTTTCCTGCAAAACTGGCAACATACATGCAAGAAAGAGCAGTAATTTTGACAACCCATCCATGGATTGCTTTTCCAATAGCTATCTCAACTCGAAAGGATATTGATGCAATGCGGCCAACAGACTGAAATACCAGCGGGGCATTCTTGACGTGATTTCAGCGGAAAAGTGTTTTTTTTTTCATCTATAAATTGTGGCTAAAGCCCAAAGGAAATATAATTTCAATCAAGACATAATATAAAAATTAATACAAACCCTTTGGAGGGTCATTAATAATTGAATTCTTCCTAGAAAAAGAATAATTAAATTCTTCCTAGAAAATGAATATTTAAAAAGATCAAAGTTAGAGATCCCTTTAGCAGCATTAATCTTCCTATAAATATTTTACACTTTAACTTTCAATCTTTACCTGAACTTCTCAAGCTCTGCTAATCAACGTAAAATTAGCATCAATTTTCATAAACTATTTGATGATAAGATCTATCACTGTTAATTACTATCAAAAATTAAATTTTAAAATAATCTTAAGAAAGCCTTTTCTAGCCAAACTTAATTTGCCATATATTATTTATTTTAGACTTTACTGTTTTCATAATTTTATTTCTAATTACTCAAGTTTATATCTGAGTCAAACGTCTCAAAATATGTATAACAAATTAGCAATTAATGTTTTTAATAAGATCAATTTTTTTTTTTTATCAATGTGAGATTTGACAATTCATTCCATTTAAAAAGCCTGACGACTCTATTAGCATAATCAAACAATATTGGTTCTAATATCAAATATAACAACCCGACTCAATTTACCATGTATTATTTATTTTAGATTTTATTATTTTTATAATTTTATTTTTAATAATACAAGCTCACATGTAACATTTAAAAATACTTATGACAAATTAATGATTAATATTTTTAATAAAATAAACTATCAATCACTCAGTCATTCACTGATATAGAATACGACAATCACAGCCCAGAACGAACTGAAAGATTTCCGCGGAATAGTGTTTCCACCGGTGATTAATGGAACCAAAAAAACATCGACGTTATATCCATCTATTCTAAGTTCCCATTAAAGTGACATCTCCTAGTGTAAGCACAAAGAATAAAACTCGCTTTGATTGGTGCCCATAAAAAGGTTTCAGGGATACGATCTATCCGGTCAAGTCACTTTAATTAATCGTAATTAAGATGGACAACCCTGCTTACAGCGAGGTGATTCTGTTACCTCGGGTGGATTAATAGCGCCAGGCAGACCTTAGGTCTCATATTCCACAGCATTCCTCTCTACAATGTTCTCTAACTCACAGGTTTCACCATGTCCTGGTTTTGTTCAGAAATGGTAATCCAAAGGGCTGCTTGTCTCTGACGAAAGTAGTGTACAGTATTCCAGCAATACGTTCAAGCCTCCACAACTGACAAAGGGCAAGAATGTTGATGCACTACAAGTTCGCATGTAAAAGGGCTTCCCTGACTGAACAGCGCGCTACCACTATGGCAAAAAGGCGGATGTGCAATCGACTCTTGAATTATACAAACCAGAGCCCTTACAGCAAAACATCTGCATGCTAATTCAAGGATCAAATTTTCAACAAGTCCAACTACAATATTTTAAATGAAGAGCATAAGCTGCTTTCGGATAAGAAGCGAGCTACAAAAAGCATTGGCGACTTTAATTTATGTAAACAAGAACAGCCTTTGGAAAAAGCATAAAAACAAATAAAGCATGAAACAAAATCCTATTGTAAACAAGTTTTCAAATACATCCAAAAAGTTCTCATAATGGATTGCGCTCTCAGACCAAAATAAACCCCCAGTTTAGTAGAAGAAACCAAGCACTTTGCCACCAACATTCTTCCTTCTAGCCTCCTCATGGTCCATAATCCCAGCAGAAGTTGTGAGTACGATATATCCAAACTGCAATAACCAGCCATTAATGTAATGTACAAGTCAGAAATGAAAAGCCAATAAACAGTGCCAAGACCACAAACAAAATGATGATCGTTGAGTTATTCAATGATAAATCCCCTACAAATTCACAGAAACAAATGTCATCACATTACACATGCCCACACTAATGAATATTGGAATAAACTTAATCAGGATTTCAATGGGATTTAACATTCACAAAAGCATTCAATTGCATGATCCTGAAGCATCCCACTTGCAGACTTATAATAGCATAATATTTTTGAAATGGATATTAGGAATTGAAATTGAAGTGAATTCATATACTTCATGGACTGACCTGTCTTGAGGGGAGCAACCTAGCAGTCCAGGTTTCCATCTCCTTAACACCAACATCAAAACGAGGACTGATAACCCCACATTTGTTCAACCTTCCATTTAGTTCGACAACGATTTTACCAGCCCTGTGATCATCAACAAACTCGAACTCACCAATGTAACCTACAGAGCAGAACCCAATAAGAATTGCACTTTCTTTACAAATTAAAAACAACCCGATAATCAGATAGCATGCGAATAAAAAATAGCTCAGTACCGTGCTTCTGCATCACCATCAGAAACTTGATGATTACTTTTGAGGACGGCCTGATCATAACTTGGCGCTTCCCACGTTTCTCTGCATTGTACATGCTCTTCAGAGCATCATTCAAAACACTAACTCGCACCATTGTTGCTGCCGCTATACCAATTTTAACAAGAGCAGAGTCAATGACTACCAAGAGTTTTTGAAGTGCACATCAAATGTGAGTCACGTTTACAAAGCTTTGTTTTCCAATCTTCAATTTCTATTATTCCCGAAAACTAGAAGGCTGAGGATTTAGAACAAGCTAGCTAGCAGCATTATAGCTTTGCAAGACGTGCAATTCTAGACCCAAACCTCAAATCTACATATTCGCAAACTTTTAACAAATAAACCAACGAACTAAAGAGGAAATATAAACTTGGCAGATATAATCGATCACAAAAAGCCAAGAAAAAAATATAAGAAAAATCAAATTTAAACAGACCATCGAATGCTCATTCGTTTTAGTCTTAGATGACAAATAAGCGGTTGAGGAAATCACGAAATCAAGCTCCAATATTTGCCTTCTCATTTTCTATTCTAACAAACTAAACAGAGCTGGTGAGATCATATGAAGCATCTTAAAAAAAAAAAAAGGCAAACAGAAGCAAAGGTTTATACTCTTGTTGAGTTAGGATGATAGAAAGAAATAAAAAAACAATCAGCGAACTTATATTGCGAAGATCACAGCTAAGAAGCGAGCAATGGAAACCCTAAAATTATATAAGACGCACCTTGAAGAGATGCAAAAAGCGATCTGCGAAGCCGCCTCCAAGTCGAAACAGCAAAGAGCCTGGGTTTGAGAGACATGAGACGTGAAATGTTCGTGTATATATCTGGTTGGGTATGACCAACTTGATTTACTAGAATGCCCTCGTACTAGGGTTAACTTAGGGTTGAGCCGGGCTTTGCATTGTCATTCGTGGATCTAGAAATATTGGGTCCAGCTGAATATAGCCATTCGCTGTGAGTGGATCTTATACTGGACTTATTAGTGAGGCCCATTAATTAATCATGCTAGGCTTGGAGGGTGCTTAAAACAGGTTTTAACCAGGTTTTTTTAAGAATTTTAATTTTTTTATTGTTTTGATATATTAATATTAATTTTTTAAAAAATTAATATATTTAAAAAAAAACACTATTATTACTACCTCAAATACTCATTTAATAAACTGATGCGATCAAATTGAATTTCTATGGGCAAGCATGTGGGTCCCCCCCTCAAAGATCCCGTTTGTTTGATGGTATGTAAGAGTAAAAAACTCAAAAAAAATCGCAAGGCCTGCTGTGTCTTGTTCCGAGTCTCGACCATTTAATAAAAATCCGTTATAGAATAATGACATGAGCAAATGTCTGTGTTATATACTCTATCTTTTTTATTTTAAATGTTGATAACAGCTGAGTTTTGAATTCAAATTTTAAAATATTCAAAAAGTAATCACTAACAATTATTTTATGGATTTATGTATTTTAAGGAGAGAAAAAAACAGTGATAATTGAAAAGATCACATCTGAATTCATCGAATGTTATAAGAATAATTCCATCCAAGCTTAAAAATAATTTATTTATTTTTATATTTCTCATTTTACTCTGCTTTCTATATCAACCCCTCACTCATAGAGTAATTATTAATATTATATCCTGAAATTTCTCCATTAAAAAACTCTTTCCTGTATTTAAATTAATCCAATTAAAAATAAAAAATTCTATAAGAATTTGAATTTGTTTGAAAATGTAATTGTGGTTATTTTCAGATAATTTTTTGTGTAAAAATATATGTTAATAATTTTTTTATTTTTAAAATTTTATTTTTGACATTAGAATATTAAAAAAATTTAAAAATACTAAAAATACATTAATTTAAAGTGAATAAAAAAATAAAAAAAATTAAATTTTGTTAAAAATATTTTTAAAATGCAAACAGAGGAGACTAGTTAAATGGCTCCAAAACAGCCCATTTGAATTAAAAAAAAAGAGAGAGAAAAAAGCAGCTCTCCTTTCTGTAAAGCGATGCCGTCGAATCTGACAAACTTGAAAAATGAATGAAGGAGAAGGAAATAAAAACACCAAAACAATATCGTAATTAAATATGTGTTTCGATTTCACCAGCAGTTCGGTAATCAGCATAGAGCAATAGATTCTCCAGCATTACAATAATCTTGATGTTAATCATTACAAACCAAGCCTGCAGACTCATTAGCCAAGTCCTATCTATGTACACGCACTTAATCCCCTCGATGTGTATTCTTCCGAAATTGTAATTTGGATCGTATATAGTTTCCTCGGCGTAGAACAGTCTTAATCTTATCTTGGCGAAGGCTTGTCATCCATTGAGAGATATATACTAGGAAAACGTCAACTAATTTCGAAGCACGCAGAGACAAGCTCTAATGACCCTTTTGGTTTTCAAAATTCGTCAACCATATTGAATCATATATTATATGGACTGCTTACACATTTTAAATTATTTCTCGGACAGGAAAACAGCCGCTCCTAGCTAATTCGGATTCCTTTCCATTGATACCTCCAAAAACTTGATGCTCCCTCCCTGAGCACAACCATGCATAATACTTTGCATGCTCGGCGGCCGCATTCCATTGGATTAACTGAAATTTCGGTAATTACACATACAGGTGATCTTTCACGCATTGGTTCATTATCCACGCTAAGTTTAAAAAGGAACCGAGACAGGATGACATCTACTCATTCATTGATCGAAACAATGGAAGCCAACCTGTCGCAATTTTTTTCCTGATCAAGTCGGTAGATGCACATGTTAAAGAAGAATCATTAAAAAAAAACACGAAGAGGGGGAGATCAATTTAGAGGCAACTTGAGAATCCCAGATTATCAAATGAATTCCGCATGTCATCACAATCACAATTCAGAATTTGCTTTGAGGATTGGTGTTAGGGAAACAGATGACAGGCTGACCCTCCGATATTAAAATATCCATCAGATTGAGGGACTGCACAAGTATTGCATGGGAGTTTGGGATCACTGCAACCCGAGCTTGTGTTCTAGATTGATAGAAACAACGTGATATTGACAACGAGTACACAGGCATAATTACACGTGTTAATCACTGGAGAACTCTGTGTTCATGACAGGATCATCGCACCATATATACTTGTGCAGAGACAGAGAAATATAATTATCGATAAAACTTCAGTCAACTTATATATATATTTCTGTAAATCAACAATTAACAGATAAGCCAAACCGACCCTTTTGATGATTTTATACAAATATATATATATATATATATATATATAAGGATATTCCATTAACTAATCATATAAATTTTAAAGTTAACAACTATATAAATTTCTAATAATCTTGAAGTTTATAAAATTTTGAAAAATAAATTTAAAATCTAATCAATTAAATTATACCCTTTAAAATTATATTCAAAATGTATTAATTTTACATATGATGATATACCAAAAATAAAATAACATTAATCAAGCTATACGTAATTAATTATTCGACTGGGTGTTTTATTGTTTTCTAAAGGTTAGTTCTGCCCTAAACTATCTTCGATTTTTGTTTTATAATCGATTAATTTCAAGATTAGAACCTGAAACCTCCAAATTAATTAGAGGTTTCAAGTTTTAAATATTTCTTATCCCTAATTTCTTGTTCAATTAAGTACGATAGCAGGAATTGATTATACGATTAACAACTTATCGAATGATAAAATTGTCATGGCAGAAGGGAAAAGGTCAGCATTCGTGGGCAATGCATGGACAAGCAGCAAGAACCCATGCAGAGAAGACAAAGGGATGAGCCTGGTAGATTCTTTTATTATGGAGTAAATATTATAATCGCAACTCGGAACTCACTGAAGATCTAGAACTCATTGTTAACAATCATTTAAGTGCCTTGGCCGTCTATGCTATTTAACGAAAGATTAATGCTAATCTCGTGGTTTTAATGGGATCGTCCATGTGAAATTGTCTCTTTTTTCCTCAAGAAAAAGATAAATTTGTCCCAATGCAAAGCAATGCCAATCTTATGCCGTCACACTGACCTGTTTCCTCAGATTTCCCTTCCTGCACCTCGTTTTGAGAAATTAAACCAACGAAATGTGTCATAGCTCATCAATAATGGAAATATTCTTTTCTTTCTCTTATTGCATAGCCTCTCTCTCTCTCTCTCTCTTTCTGTATTTTTATAGGCTTGCAGACCACCCTTTAACTCTAATTTCTCAAATATCATAAGTGGTTGCAACAACTCAAGGACTGAAATAAGAATTATATATACATTAATGTTCTCGATCGGTTGAAACTCTCGATTTGGATATACATATAATTTGATAATAATATGCTTACATTTAGCTCCATCTAAGCTCCTTTTGATCATAGAACTAGCTATGTATATGATCAAGTGCGTTCGTAAATGATATATTCAATCTCTTAACCTAACAGCTTCCGAGGCACAGTTTACCTGTAGACTCGTAGTGGTGTGTTGATCTTGTTTCGAAGCCAATTAATTAAATTATGTTCACTCTTTTTTCCCTCTTTCATCTTTCATATTTACCAAAGAAGGCACATCAAGGGAACGCTATTTGATCAAGCTGACTACATAATTTTTCCAAATGATATCAGTCGATTAGTACTTAATCCACTCATTTATAAAAATTATTTTTTATTTGTCTTGAAAAGTGAGTCTGAAAACAATTAAACATTGCCATGGTTTTTCCTCGCCGAAGTATTACTATATTTTCTTAACAACAAAAGAATATTTTAATTTTTGTCCACGAGCCAAGACAAGAACTCGCAACAAACCGAATCCAAAACATCCAATATTGTCTTCACAACTTGCCAGATTGATGCCAGTGCCACGCATGTTCTTGCTGCATTGTGTTTTTCTAATCAATACAATGAAGTTTGATTAAATTTTAAGAGAAAAATACTTGATGTCACCTCATTAAAACAAGTCAAAATGTGAAATTCAGAAAGGGACACATATCAAAGAGTAAGTTAATTGCCTGTTAGAGCCAGCCATTCCTCCAACGTATAAAGCTAGTTCTTTCCTCCAATGAGTCACCCTGGTCGTTTCATATTCCTTTCATCATGCAATAAATAGTCTTAAGCTTTGCTGTGACCACGAAACTACTTTCTCTTTCGAGGGAAAGAGCCGTTGCTACACTCAAACAATCCCCACATGATCATATTTACATCAAGAATATAATTCCTTCACTCAATTGTCTTTTTAATTGAGTTCTCTACTGCAGGCTACAAAGCAATTTAAAGAATGCATCATGGAGCCTATATAGGTAGAAAAGAGGGCTGGGAAGCACTTCTCTGTCTTTCGGATCAGAGGTGAGGAAAGGCGTGGCTATTATCAGGCATTAAACGTTTTCATGCCCGGCATTTCTATCTTTTGAATGTTTTCTACTCGGTTTTGGTTATGAGATAATTTTTCAGGAAGTATGAAAAACCTTTTATCAAAATCTGTTAACATGAGAAAAATAAATTAAGACTACTATTGCAGTGCCAGGCTAAATAATTTGCATTTATTCTGCAAGTTACATCATGTTCTCATGTACCTCGATTAGCTATTGTTTGATCAAAATTATTTTTTTCCCCCTTCGAAGCTTAATATTTGTGCAGAGCTGAGATTCTCACCACCCCTTTCAGTCATTATTGGACCACTTGTAATTCTTTCTTTTGAAAATAAATATCATCTTCCAACTAAGAAGAACTCCAACACCATAAGTTCAACAATTTTATTGATGTATATATGCATATATAGGCCGCTGCCAGTTTGATTGTATCATAATCTAATCACCTCTTCCCCCTTGTCTTGGCTCTCGTTCCAGGTCAGTGCGCGTGAAGCAGAGAACAAGCCTTTGATTTCGGTCTTCTGTTCAGGAAACATTGTTTCTTAAGAAATCTCTTAGTAGAGAATATATAGTTACAGGTAGATTCTCAAAATGAGGAATGCCCTTCTTCCACCAGTATCTTCACATCTTTACAACTTCGGTAATCATCTCAATCTCTTAAAATTTAGAGTATTCCTCTTGCTTAAACTGTATTGAATTAAGAGGCGCTAAGTGAGCAAGCTTGAACTGATTTTGACTTAATTAACTGGGGACTAAAGTTCTTGATCATCAGTTCGCTAAGATATTAATAATATACATTTAAAAAAAAAAGGATTTGGGATACCAATTACATAATATCGTTTGTATCTAACCAATTGTTTCAGGGAACAATGAAGTTCAGATGCCAAATTTGGATGTATCTATGCCAATGGATGACAAGATGTATGTGTTCTTGTCCTCCTTGATCTTTTATTTTAACAATAAAGAATCTTAAAAGGTGTTTTCTGTTTGTTTTATCTGTCTGCAATAAAAATTAGTAGTGAAATCAAGATTCCCTTGAAGAAAGTCAAGTAGAAAGATACCACATATACATTAAGCAGTATTTTTTATTTTATTTTTTCAAATAAGAAGTAGTGTTTTTAGCTGATGACTACGTTGATGATATAAAAGACAGAGTGTTTCCAACTTCCTTTGGATCATGTTAATGTAAACGCCTGTCCGTTGAGCTGGACTTCGAGTTTCCATGCATGAAGTTGGATTGTGTTGTGTCATTGTAACCAATATCTATTCTGTACTGTGTCCATGAAAAGTGATGGCATGAAAATACGTCAAGAAAAGGAATCCAATACACTCATGCCGTTCAAATGTAGCCTTGACTGTGATGCTACAGCAGAAATTATCTTAGTTTGGAGTTTGGCTTAAGTACAATTAACCACATTTAGACTCAAAAGCACTTGATATAACCCTTGTCTTGCCTGCGACTTCTTTATGTCTTTGTTATGAGCAATTTCAGTCAACTCTTTTTTTTCAAAAAAAAAAAAAATTCACTTCTTCAAGAAGCTGATTGAATAATATGAACATTGAAAGTTCAAACTTTCACTTTTTCAAGAGGAGAGATTCATCCTTTTGTGTGCAAGATCGATAGATTCGGCCCACTTCTTGTTAATGTTGCTTTCTGATTTCCTTTAAGCAGGAATGTCCATGGCACTACTAGCTTTTATCTGGACTCCAAAGTTTTCAATGATGACCACCAGCAAAGAGATGGAGGCTTCTCTATTCCTTATCAATCCCTCGGTAACTATCAACCAGGTTCAGTGACTCTCCACCCACTATGAGCTTTAGAGAATACTTATCGATTTTCCCTGATTTTGGAGTTCCCTTTCCACTCTGCCAACCATCTCAGTTTCCTATGTCCTGAATTTAATGGCTTATTCACCCTTCTTTAGTGGCAGGTTATCAATCTATATCCTCTACCTGTAACAACATCTCACAGCAGTCAATGCTACTAAGCAAGAGGGTCTCTGTTCCAGAGGTTCAAATGGTAAATAATGGAGTACTCATCCCTCTTACTTTTTGCGTGTGATGTGAGAAAGATTTGAAGTAAATTGTTTAGATTTTCGGGTGTCCTCGGTCATAAATGAGAGTTGTACATTAAACTAAATCAAGTTCAATTATTTTAATATCTAGATCATCTCCGGCCTCTTAATAAATCTTTTTGCAAAATACTAATTTATGATCATGGACACTAAAAAAAGCCCTGGCTTGTTCCCGATAAATGAAAAATACTTGAAAGGGTCGGCCAAATGATGCATGCAAGTCCTCATGGACACTAAAATTCATGGGATATCGAATAATAGAGCAGTCCTTATCACATGATGGATGATTTTTTATTGCAGCAATCCTAATGGACTTAGCCTGCACTGCACTTCAACATTTGATTTAATAACAGTCTGTAGAATAACAAAGAAGAGCATCAATCTCCTAATTCTACCCTTCTTCTTCAGGAGTTTCAGGCTATGCAAATTAAGAAAAGGACAATTAATGAGCTTGCTAACCTGTTACCCCAAAGAGGACCTAGTGATCTCGTTGAAAACAAGACCGCTTTGAGTACATGGAAGACTAATAAGAGAAAGAAGGCTAATTCCCCTGGAGAACTATGGAATCATCAAGCCATGGAATCAATCAATATCCAAGAGCAAAAGGTAAGAAGGGCATGCCAAGTATCAACAATAAGAGCAATGCAGGACCAAAAGATCGAGGAAACAGACCAGAAATAGGACCAAAAGAAATTGAAACTGACAAAAACTTTATCCATTTCTAGAACATGAAAAGTACAAATCAAGATGTTCTTGCTAACCAAGCATTTCTTAAGTTCTTAAGCTTTTCTATCTCGGCTGGCAGTTTCAGGTGCCTGTGAGGAGAAGCCAGAAGCTTAGTGACAAAATTACAGCACTTCAAAAGTTGGTCTCTCCATATGGCAAGGTTGGTTGATTTATACGTAAATACTTTAGGGTGGGTGGGATGGCCTTGGTTTTATATTTTGTTGATCTTTAATCCCTCAAGTGGAATCATTTATTCCCTTGTCATTTTAGAAATTCAATTATGGTTGCGGTTCTATTGCAGACTGATACTGCCTCTGTTCTTCAAGAGGCTTCTCTTTACATTAAACTCCTTCAAGAACAGATTCAGGTATAATCTGCTCAGCTAATTATTATTTATTAATCAGGCTGCAAGAGTTCAAATTTGAGATTGGACACCCTTGGATTGTTAGTTAATTATTCATTTTATTCGTCTTCTTGGTTTTGGAACAGAATCTGATTCAGATGCTGACTAGTTCATACAGTCGTGCAAGACCTATTCAACAGTCACAGGTTGATAGATATACACCAAAATTTGTATCCATACTGTTTTTAGGCATAAATTAATTAATGCATGTGCTCAAATATCTCAATCATCTTAATGCTCTTGTTGACAACTTGGGCTTATCACAGGAAATTGAGGGCAGACTGGTTGATCTGCGAAGTAGAGGACTTTGCTTCGTTCCCATATCACTCATGCAGAAAATGACTCAACAGCAAGACCACGTCGATCCCAGTTCTTATCCAAGGAAGAACATCAGTGCCACGACTTTTTAGTTACCGCCCCCGACAACATATATTTAGCTTAACCCCGGCACAACAGTAATTGTTTTTAATCAATGGTATCCATTTTAAAGCTTCCTTGATCAGGGAAACTAGTCGTTTTCAGGCTTAATTAGGGTTTTTGTTCACTAATAGTGATTGTTGTAAGGTGGGGCTATATGTAATTTTGATATTCGGGGAGTGCAAGATCACTTGAGTTCAATGCAAATGATTCTGCTAGTTGGGAAGTACCTTTTGTGGCTGGCTGATATTCATTCTATGATGGCGACTACTGGTATTTCAAAAATCAGTCATGTGTTGAAGGCTAGCAGGGATGCTCATGTTATGGCTTGTCAAGTTTCTCAGTATTTGGAAACCAGTCACATGCTGGGATGCATTACCTTTAGATTTTACTGGATAAGTGGCGCGCTACGCCGCGCACTGGTTAATTTTTTTTTAATATAAAAAAGATGTTTAGATTACGATAATCTGAATTAATTTAACTACTATATCATTCAAGATATAATATTAAAATAATTTTTATTTTAAAAAAAAATATATAAAATTCAAACTTTAATAATCTAATATTAAATAATAAAATTTAAAAAATAATTTAAAAAAATAATATCTAAAAAAAACATGATTCAACATAAGTTAATTTGACCAACTCACTACCCACAACACTCACAATATGAAAAAAATTAGGTTAATCTAATTAATCTATACTTGGGATAACCTCCTGGAAAAAAAAATAAAAAAATCACAAAACTCAAGACTCAATAATTTAATGTCAAGTAATGAAATTAAAAAAAATATTCATTAAAAAAACTTCAAATTAACCTGAGTTAACTTGATAAACTTATAACTTAAGATTAATATAAATTCATAAAAAAAAGTGCAACAAATAACAATACTCAAGAACCAATGATCAAATGTCAAATAATGAAATTAAAAATAAATCAATTTTTAATAAAATATTTAAAAAAATATCAAACTTAAACTAAGCCAATATTCAATATTAGTGACCAGGTTGTAAGACTCGAATTATCTTATAGAAAATCAGGGAAGAAAAAATCATGAAGTATAATTTTCAATCATATTTAAAAAAAAAAAACAAATAGCAATCAAAATAATGAGAAACTAATTTAATATAAAAAATAAAAAAAATAATTAAAGATTAAATTAAAAAAATAAATCAATAAGGATAAAAAATAGAAATCAAAAGAATAAGGAGCAAATTTAAATACAAAATTAAATAAAATAAAATGACGAGGGATGAAATTAAAAAATAAAATAAATTAAAAAATAATAAAATACAAAAAAAATGATTAAAATAATAAAAATTAAATTAGATATACAAATTAAATGAAATAAAATATGTATTTATAAAAAAAAAAAAAAAAAGAGAGGAAAAAAACAGTAATCGGAGCTCAACTACATCTCTATCATTAATATATGCACAACCAGCATGCAGAAGACAACATGTTGCTTTCAATACTGTTGCGGATAATGAAAATTATAACTAGAATACCTTGCCCATGCCGTCTATGTATTATAAATTTTTTTAAATAATATTTTTTTAATTATCAAACAACACCTAAACGAATTTAAAAAAATAACATAATGAAAAAACTAAAACGTCATCTGAAGCAACTTTAGATTTTTAAATGGCAATTATATCACTTAACTATTTTAAGAGATTAGAAGACGAGATAAACCTTTATCTCCAAGTTTAATGTTTTTTACTTTTAAAGGTATCAATATATTTTTATTTTTCATCATGCAAATAATACTTGAAAGATGAAAAACTTTAAACTAAAGTTATATGTTTTTATTGTTTTTAGGGGTAATAAAGTTATTTCATTTGTGAAAAATAGTGTATAGATTAATTTTTTTCTAATTAATTTTTTAATAACTAATAAATCCCTTAAAAAAAATGATTGCATCTTGATATATCATAAGCTTATAGAGTTTTTTTTTTTGAGAGGGTAAAAATATCATTGCATTTATGCTAAAATAAACAATATAATTTATATGGAGTCATAGCATTTTACATATGCCTTTTAGTTTTTTTTTAATTGTAATTGTAATATAATGAAAACAAAATCAACTTATTTGTTACTTCGATGAAAAGTCCTTCAATTTTACAAGAGTAAAAATTAAAATTACGGTGACACATGAAGGCAGAGGTACTTTCTAAGGGAGGATAGAATTTATCCTCAAACGGTACTCTTTAAGTTAAGGGAGGAAAAAAAAATTATCTCCAAAATGTTCAAAAGTGGAGTTAAATTCTATCCTCTCAATTCTTTTATTTATATTTATTATTAATCTTCCTTTTTTATCTCAAAATACATACCAATACAATATTTTATTTATCTCTCTCTGGTTATTACTAACGATTTAACTATTTTTTATTTTTCCTTTGAAAATATAAATTCAATTTATTATCATATCAAACATTCAATTATACTTAAAAATCAACTTTTACACTCTTAAAAATTATTTATTTCTATTTTTTTAATGGTTTAATCACTAAGAGGCCTAGAGCACTTCTATTTAAAATTGACCTCTCGCAGTCACAGAGCCCATCCCCGATCCACACCAACATGGGGTACTGTTCATTACCCCTCGTCATTAAACGTAGTCGTACTGATACGTGCCAGTCTCACCGCCCAAGACGTGGCATAGTTTCGTACCATATGCCAAAAACATGGCACCATACCAATGGAGCAAAAGCCAGGCACCGATGCCCGTGACGGTAACTTGTGAAAGAACGACCACAGACACGCATACCAAACGTGAAAGAAAGGAAATAAAAAAAGCCCACCAAAACCTCGCCTTTTTCCGAGCCCAACCAAAAAATAAGACGCAGGAAAAAAAAATAAAATTACAACTTACAATTAAGATTGTCAATTTTATTTTGTTTTGTTTAAAATAATTAAAATATTTTATATTAATTTAAAAAATAAAATAAAATAGAATAATTTTTATTTTATTTTAAATCTTAGTACATTCTAGATTTTTCAAGTAAATTTCACTTGAAATGTTCTGATTTCATTTTACATGTTCCGTTCTGCTCTTAAAAAGTCAAGTTCAATTTGATTAATTAAACCATCCAAATATAAAAAGTTCATTTTTATTAATTTTTTTAATAATAATGTTAAAAATTATTATTACTATTTTTATTAATAATGGTATTAATTTTTTTAAATTAAATTTATCACTAATATATATAGTTTATATTCATGTTGTTTTTTCATGTTTATACATTATAGGAATTTGAGTAAAATAAGAGATGTTTTAGAGTTTATTAGCCTTGATAACATTGACCTAACTTTATATTTAAAAAATTTGTATTAAAAAATTTTACTTACATAATATTTTGATATTTTATTTAAGTTGAATTATTTTAAGTTAAAGATATATTTAATCTTGATTATTTAAAAATATTTTAAATTTTAAATTATATTTATTTGACATTGTATTTATATTATATAATTTATAATTAATTTATTTTAAATTTAAATTATATATATATAAATAATATAACTCTGAAACAACGTTAAAATATAAAACATCACATTAAAAAACTTTAAAACTAAAATATTTTATTTTAATTAAAAAAAATATAATACTTATGGAAATAGAATTGAAAAACTTGCCTAGTTGACATTAACCTAATTTTAATATTAGAGTATGTTGTTTGGTTATTGAAGTCGGTACTAGTTGACACTTGACACTCCTGTGTTTTGTGTTCACTATTTATAGGTATGTTTTGAAATGGCTGATTTTGGGTTTGTTTATAGATTTTTTTTTCCCGATTTTTTTTTTTTTTTGCATTTAAGTTTTTTCCCCTCTTTATGGGTGGATAAATGAAATAGTACTTTTAGTCATGATAATTTCTCGAATTTGTATGCTCCAAAGATTACGAATTTTGTGGGATAAAATGTAGACTGATGATTTAGATTGAAGATTCTTGTGGATTGTGAACTGAAATGTGAAGGATATGATAAAAGCTCAGAATGAAGTTGGAATTTGAGATGAGGTGTATTTTGCTTAAGGACTTTGTCGTCGTTGAGAACTTTGTGTTCTGCTGATTGCTATTGATTTGGAGTATCTCTTCCTGAAAAAAATGGGGTGTAACGTGGGAATTTATGTAGATTAAGGGGGTTTGTAAGTATTACCAATCCTTAATGATTTTAGGAGTACGATACTGCTGCTTTCATTATCTTTGTTTTTATGGATGAACTGCAAGTCCAGCTGTAATGCAGCGGCATTTGTAAAGAGATAAGGCCAAGGAATACCTTTTCACCTATAGTGGGTTACTAACTAGTTGTTCTTTCCATTTGCAGGCAAATGCAGCGTCTGGGATGGCTGTGCATGATGACTGCAAGCTGAAGTTTTTGGAATTGAAAGCAAAAAGGACTTACCGCTTCATTGTTTTCAAGATTGAGGAGAAGCTAAAGCAGGTGATTGTGGAGAAGCTTGGTAAACCAACTGATAGCTACGAAGACTTCACTGCCAGTCTTCCTGCCAATGAGTGTCGATATGCTGTTTATGACTTTGATTATGTAACAGATGAGAACTGCCAGAAGAGCAGGATTGTTTTCATTGCATTGTAATAGATTACCCCCTGTAAAATTTAACAACCTCATATGTTACCATTCTTTGATTTTTCTTTTTGGATTTCTGTTTGATTGTTTGTTTCATTTATTGCTTTCATATGTATGAAGGTCCCCTGACATATCTAGGGTGAGAAGCAAGATGATTTATGCGAGCTCCAAGGATAGGTTTAAGAGAGAGTTAGATGGTATTCAGATCTAGTTGCAAGCTAGTGATCCTACAGAGATGGGGCTCGATGTTATTAGAAGCCGTTCGAATTAAATACTTTGCCTGCCATGCAAGGGAGTCCATACCATTGAGTTCAACAAGTTTAATGTTTATATATTTGCACTTGGATTTTTCTTATTAAACTTTCTTCTCCTGTTATGTTTGTGGATTAATGGGGCGAGTACCCTCTCCAGTGTGTTACTTACATACAATAGTTATATGATGATTTGTGTGGAGGCATTTATTATATGTTGCCCTCAAAATAGGGTGAAATCTACTTTCAATTAAATTATGCGTCGTTTAATTATCCACAATGAATTAACCACAGGGAGTCGGGCATGATTGGGATCCATGCTATATATTTAATGGAACTTTGGTAGTGAATTGAGAGGTGTGGAAGTGAAAAGACTCCGAGTGGGATCCCCGATTGTTGAATGGTCAGATATCTATCACGTAGGAGAGAGCTTTTATCAGAGGGAAACATCAAAAGTTCGATGATATATGCTTAGCCTGTCAAGTTTACCCATGCAGCGTTTGCTTTACAGTGTTATTTGCAGTGTTGCTCTCGTAAGGTCGCAACCAAGCCGGACCGCTTACTTTGGCCGCTTTTTTAATATTTTATTTTCAGCAATACCGCCATGGTAGGCACCACCATCGGAGAGGAGTAATCGCTAGCAATCAACTTGAGATGGATGTTAACCGTGGAGTTGGGAAAATGCTTCGAATAAAAATTAATGAAGTTTGCGTGACAGTTATTAAAATTCTATTCAATTTTCAAGTCAAAGTCATTTATCTTCATCTGTGTAGATGGGTAGCGACAACAATAGCAAGGCAGCCGTATCCCTGCAAGAGGTGTCTTTTACGGTAAAGTGGACCTCACAAGATCGCATTAAAAGTCAGCGAGTGTTGCAACTACATATATAAAATATGAGTATGCGTTCAGATAAATAAGATTAAGTTCGATCTATTAATCTTCGCTCATTTACTATACTCCAACTTAATTCTCGCAGACGCATGCTCTATGCAAATCTATTCCAAGTGACGTTGATGAAGTGGTGAACATCACCCCTCCCTCCCGCCTTGTAGCACAATGCCATAATAATATCGGCAGAGTATAATATAAAGTGTCCTGGTGCTCGATTGTTTGGGCTCGGAGAGCGGTATTGTATGATTGCTTATTAGCAACACCTCGGAACTAGGAAAAACTAGTAACTAGCTAGTTTAAACCTTCAAAAGAAAAAATAGAATGCAAAAGATGATTGCCTGGGTAAAATTATTATTTTTAATATAAAAAAATATTTAGGTATAGTTAATATTTTTTTTTAGTAAAAAAATTATATAAAAATTAATTTAATATGATTGTTCAAGTTAGCAGATTCAAATACAATTAAGATAATCAGTGAAAATATAATTTGACTCAAAATAAATATTTAAGATGAAATTTCTTATAAATATTAAAATAATAATATATTAGATAGACTCAGATTAATCTATTAATCCGCATATCAAATTATAAGATTATAATAACCTCATAGAAAATAGATTAAAATAAATTATGAATCTAAATTTTTTTTAAAAATAATATTGAAAGATAAAATTATAAAAAAAATAATTAAAAAAACATAGAAAAATGACCCAAATCAATCTGAGTTAACTTGTTAAACCGTGACCCAACAGAATGCAAAATTTTCTTTAAAAAATTATGAAACTTAATTCTCAATCAACCCAGTGTTGAAAAATAAAATTAAAAAAATCAATAAAAAACTCAAGTCAACCTATATTAACACGTCGAACCCGTAACCCAACTCATGAGATGAAGATAACCTCACAAAAAGAAATTTAAAATAATTCACAAAGCTTAATTATATATTAACTCAATATTAAAAGATGAAATTGAGAAAAAAATTATATATAAAAAAAAAACTCGAGTCAATTAAATCAGCCTATTAAACTCATAGTCCAAGTCACAAGACTGTAATAACCCCATAAAAAATAAATTAAAAAAATTAGTTTTTTGCTAATGAAAAATCAATTAAAAATAAAATAAAAAACAACTTGAGTTAATTTTTAAAATTTATGACCAGAATAATGAGACGAAGATAATCTTATAGAAACAAACTGAAAAAAATTATGAAATCTGATTTTTAATTAATTCAATATTTAAAAAAATAAAAAAACAAAAAAACCGAGTTAATCAAGTCAACTTGTTAAACCTGATATTTAAATTATAAAATTAAAATAACTTCACAACAAGTAAATTGTAAATATTTATAAAATTTAGTTTTTAATAAATGTAATATTAGAAAATAAAATTGATTTAAAAAAAAAGAAAAAAGAAAAAAGAAAACCACCCAATTCAAGTGTTTTAAGATGATTAGAGTAAAATCTTCTTTTCTTTTAGTTTTTCATGCTAAATCAAATATTGTCCTTTGTTATTACCACTTCTCCGTATGAGACATCTTCAACCACTAACAATGAGCAAACATGCGCTACCCTCCTCGCGTGGATTCTTCCATGAACTCGCGTCTAGAAATAAAGCTCCTATTTTACCCCCAAACCACATTCGAAATTACTCCAACTACGTTAGCCTACTCTCCTCATGCAAGACGCTGAACTCTCTACTTCAAATTCATGCACGTTTGACAGTGTCAGGCCTTCAAAATGACCATTTAACTAATGCCCACCTCATCAAATCTTACCTATTGTTTCTGAAATGTAACTTTGCTCGCTTTCTGTTCGATTCTTTGCCAAACCGAAGTGTCATGCTATACAATTCAATAATTAGAGCGTATTCGAGAACAAAAAATCACCAAGAAGCTATAAATATATACCATTGTATGCTGAATAAAGGCTTGGAGCCAGACAAGTATACTTTCACCTTTTTTTTGAAAGCTTGTACTGGTGCATTATACTTTAAAGAGGGTATTTTGGTACATAAGGATATAATCGTTAGAGGATTAGAGCGTGATGCTTTTATTGGGACTAGTCTTGTTGATATGTATTGTAAAATGGGTGATTTAAAGTTAGCTAGAAAAGTGTTCGATAAAATGCCTGAGAAAGATGTTGTAGCTTGGAGTGCAATGATTTTGGGATTGTCACAGAGCGAGGATCCTAATGAGGTATTTGGGTTCATTAGGAGTATGCAGTTGAGTGGAGTGGAGCTCAATTTAGTTAGCATTTTGAACTTGGTTCCTGCCGTTTCGAGACTGGGTGATATTGATGCCTGTAGGTGTATTCATGGATATGTGATTAGAAGGGGTTTTGATGCAGTTGTTTCGAATGGTTTGATTGATATGTACTCCAAGAGTGGGAATATAGATGTTGGTCGCCAGATTTTTGAGTATATGCCAGACAAGGATAATGTTTCATGGGGAACGATGATGGCAGGGTATGCACATAGCGGATGTTTTCTTGAGGTTTTGGAGTTGTTTGATCGTGGGAGAGGAGAGAATGTTAGGATGAATAAAGTATCTGTTACAAGTGCTCTTACGGCTGCTGCAGAGATGAGATCATTAGGGAGAGGTACAGAGATCCATGACTTTGCCAGACAACAAGGGATAGATTCAGATGTTGCAGTTGCTACTCCTATAATGACTATGTATGCTAGATGTGGAGAGGTGGACACAGCTAAGCAGTTGTTTCAGGGAATTAAAGGGAGGGATTTGGTTGCCTGGTCAGCAATTATAGCTGCTTTCGTTCAATCAGGGTATCCTCAAGAAGCACTGTCACTGTTTCGAAGTATGCAGAACGAAGGTTTGCAAGCAAACAAGGTCATTCTCTTGAGTTCTCTTCCAGCTTGTGCTGAAGTATCATCCCTGAAATTGGGGAAAAGCATGCACTGCTGTGCTGTCAAGGCCAATGTTGATTTAGATATTTCAGTTGGAACAGCGTTGGTCTCCATGTATGCTAAATGTGGATTCTTTGCTTTGGCACTGACTCTATTTAATAGAATGCCATTTAAAGATGTAGTGACATGGAATGCTATGATAAATGGGTACGCCCAAATTGGTGAACCATTTCCTGCATTAGAGATGTTCCATAAATTACAGCTATCTGAATTACATCCAAACTCAGGAACTATGGTGGGTTTGCTTCCAGCATTTGCTCTTCTAAATGACCTGGACCAAGGATCCTGCATCCATGGGAAAATTATAAAGTGTGGTTTTGAATCTGAATGTCATGTAAAGACTGCTCTCATTGACATGTATGCTAAATGTGGAAGCTTGTCCAGGGCCGAGTTCTTGTTTCATAGAACAGGGTGTAGAAAGGATGAGGTGTCTTGGAATGTGATGATTGCTGGATACATGCATAGTGGACATGCCAAAGATGCCTTTTCTGCTTTTTGCCAGATGAAATTAGAGAATATCCAACCTAATACAGTCACAATCGTGACTGTCGTTCCTGCAGTAGCGCATCTGTCAGCCATAAGGGCTGGCATGACTCTCCATGCATATGTTATCCGAATGGGATTTCAGTCTAAAACACCTGTTGGTAATTGTCTTATCGATATGTATGCTAAATGTGGATGGCTTGATCACTCTGAAAAGATATTCCATGAGATGAAGAATAAAGACACTGTCTCATGGAATGTTATGCTTGCGGGATATGCAGTTCATGGGCGCGGGAGCTGTGCTATTGAACTTTTCTCACGCATGCAGTACAGTGAAATCAGGCTCGATTCTTTTTCCTTCATCAACGTTTTATCAGCTTGCAGGCATGCAGGTTTAATTGAAGAAGGAAGGAAAATATTTGATTCCATGAGCAAACAGCATCAGCTTGAACCAGATTTGGAACACTATGCTTGCATGGCGGATCTACTAGGTCGTGCTGGATTATTTGATGAAGTTTTGGACTTGATCAAGTCAATGCCAATGAAACCTGATGCTGGAGTGTGGGGAGCCTTATTGGGGGCATCTACAATGCATTCGAATGTGCAGTTAGCAGAATTTGCACTGGATCATCTTGACAAACTCGAGCCTAAAAATCTGACACATTATGCAGCTTTATCAAATACATATGCTAGATCTGGAAGGTGGGCAGATGTAGGCAATACAAGATCAAAGATAACCAAAACAGGACTAAGGAAAAGTCCAGGATATAGTTGGGTTTGAGGTTAAAGATACAGATGTTTTAAGAATTTCCATGCTTGCTCTGGGTGAGAATTAAGTGCATTCTGGAATGTTTTACTCGAAAAGATGGAGAACTGTGTGCAGAATGCAAAGGAAGAGGATGCAAAACTATTTCTTATAAGCTTCATGAAGGTTAGCCATCACTCTTATCCTCACAAATTCTCATCATGCTTGGAATTTAGGTCAAACATGCTTGTTCTTTCAAATACTGAAAAATCCATTGCTAAACATGCATTTATTATTATTTAAGACTTTTGCAAGCATTTGACTTCGCATCACTACATAAACTAAATTGGACTCAGGTTGTCAAATGGCTAATGGTTAACAATTTATTTGGTAGGCGCTCGGTCAACCAAGACATATTTGGACAAGAAACCAAGACAACCTTATGTTGACATAATATCAAGTGCCACATATAATTTTCAGAAAGGAAAGACGGAGAAGGAAACATAAAAAGTAGAATGGTGACTGGCAAGATAAATTTTTTATTTTATTTTAGGACGCCTTTTGTGTTCATGAAATTCTTACTGGCTCCCATAAAGTTGGAAGAAAAAATTTGCATTCACAGGGATTGTCTAACAAGTGATGTATCATCCATGTACCCATCATCAACGTTGTTCACAACCTCGTTGGATGCAATTATGATATATTCTTGGATGGTTGTAAAACAGAGTTGATCGCACAAATCAATTTGTTGTACTATACCAATGTACAGTAACTTTTGGAACAAAAACATGCAGGCCAAGTACCTTGCTCCTTTTCTACCCAGCTTCCAGAAGACTTCCACTATTTTAAAAATTACAAAAACAATGTCGTAAGCATAAAAATGTTACAGAAAAGAAAATTGCTGCAAATAAATAGTGCCGATGTCAGATTTCTGTTTTCATCTTCTTCTTTACCAGGAGCTCCTTCAGATGGTTTTTTTTCTTCTCCAATTCTTTTCATATCATCTTGCAACTTGTTGCATAAAGCCTAGATGATGTGAAAGAACGTAACAAAATAATCACCAAAAAGCAAATGCCCAGATAGATTTCTTTGCACGCATAAAAGATTTGTGAAAGTGGACTATTTAGCGCCAACAAGAGACATTACTACATCAGGAACAGAAGAATCAGTGCATATTTACCTTTAGCCATTCGCAGTCACAGCACTTAGGAGCAGACATGATTTGCTTTTGAAATTTGGAGAAGTGATTGAAGTGTAGCGAAGAATGTGTGGTGAATGAGAGGACTTAACTCCATGAATGATAAAATGATGATCATTACTAGATCGTGAAAACTTGCTGGGAATGTATCTTGGTCATTGAGATGAAATCTGCAGATAAATAGGAGGGAAACATGTGGGGAAAATAATTTGGTTTTCAGCAATTGTAGAGACCATCAGTGGGGGGGAAATTGACATGAAACGAGGATCAATACTTGTGTACCTTGCATCTTCAAGTTTTGATTATGATAGACACAAAAATAACATCAAGGACAGTATAAAAATTATGCCGACACCCAATTACAACGTGCAGTTTACAGTTTCAATTAACCCAATTTTTGTGTCCTAAATGTTAGCATAAAAAAGCGTTGCCTAATTGATCCTGACTACATGGGCAACTGATGCTGCAAAAGCCTATATCAATTTCTGTTGCTTGCGTGGAATTCCTCACAAACATGTGCCTAATATCGATTGCTGTGCTAAGATAACTTGGTCCAAAGACAAATATCAAACGGACCTAAAAACACCAAAAAAAACATTGACAGAAGCGCTGCATCTTTTTTAATGCTTCTTTTAGGCAGCGGGAAAACCTAAATTACTTAATTTAGAAGAATCAAAACAGATGACAACGGGTCCAAATTAGCACATCCTCAACGCACTTTGCTGCCACTCTCCAGGGACTGTATGGGAACTCCATGCTTTTTAAAAATTTGATTTTTTTTGTTGAATTTTTTTTCATGTTTTAAATTATTTTGATATACTAATATAAAAAATAATTTCTTAAAAATAAAAAATATTACTTTAATATATTTCTAAATTAAAATATTTTAAAAACCAATTCAAAAAACCCTCAACCTCTCTTTTTCCATGAATCAAAGATAATTGAGCCAAAGAAATTCATCCTCCTTGTGATAATTTCTAACACGAGACGACAAAATGTACGGAATATTGCAAAGAAATCTTGAAGAATCATCAAATTCCCATGCGAGAAAACAAAGTGAATTCCCAGACACAAGCAGTGGGCAGTAGCCACGAAGGCTTTGATAACTGTTCCTAAAATAAAAAATTAGTAATAAATTAAAATGACATCTACTCCACCACTACTAATATAACAATACATTTTTTATAAAAAAGGCCGAGCCCAGCTGCGGGTAAGGAACGAACGCACATGATGCAGCTGACACAAAAGCCAAGAATAAAAAGATTAACAAACTTCTTGAAAAGAATTCCGCCCAATACTACGGCATTCCTCCATCCAAAACCATCCTAGCTCTTGATGAGCTAGCTGCCTCACGAGCAAAGCATACAGGATGAACACAATTCAGATCCTGGAACTACATGGCCAGCAATATACAACCTGCCCTTTCAGGGTACAAAAGAGTGGCATCAATAGACCCCAGTCAACATAAAGGAAATTTTTTAATAAAGGGTTATGTAAATGCAGTATATATATATATATTAACGATGCATAATAACATAAACATGCAATTTCTGTATAATATTGGAAATTATGAAACGACCACACTGAAAAGATTTTTTGGATCCGCCACTGCTTACCTCTTAAGGAGAAATGAATACTTTATATCGCCAAGAAAACGAATCTAAATTTGGGAGTTCGTTTCTCATTTTTTGAACATATTGCTCCAAATTGTGTGCCTGCTCACTTGTGATATCAGTAGAAATCGTATCTTCAGTTAGTTTGACTGCTGCCATCTGAGACAGTTGAAAATTCTCTCCAGCAAATTGGAGCTTTCTTGCAATCTCTTCACCACCAAGCATCACAAGTGTAACTAATAAAGATCTAAGCTCATGCTTTGCTCCAGCTGTTAGAGACATGCCTTTCAAATGCTCTACCAGTGCTAACTCTTCATCAGCGCTACAGTGTCCAGAAATCATTTCATGCAAGGATTCTTGACCAAGAAAGGAGGGAAAGGAATCTGGGAATCAAGGATGAAGATACATACCTGCCAGGGCGAATCTTTCCTCTTTTCCGTTGACGCCTCATGTCTCTAGCCTTACTAGTGACACTGGAGGTCACAGAAGAGGCAGAGCCCTTCCTTGTTCTGTTCATGAAATATAACAAGAAGCAACTTGGATTGGCATAAACAGAAACATTTGGATGCATGAGGAACTACATGGGAAAACAAGTAACTAAGCATGCCAACTGGAATAAGCTGACCATGCCAAATGACAGTAGCTTCAGTCTAGTTCAAACTTGAGAGCTTGTGAGAGGGAGAGAAAGATAAGGAGCAGATGCACAAAAAATCTAAAATGGTATTAAAACAGAGACGAAGAATAGGGAAGAGAAGAAATATCCAGGAAGAAACCACTCAATTGCAAGAAGAAAACAAGATGAAGAGTGACAGATATGACAGATAAATATGGCAAGGGCACAATGAAACTGACCCTCTCACCAATTCTAAAATCCCGTTTTTTAATAGTTGATGTGATTTTTTTTTTCTTTGAAGAAGAAGAAAATTAATTGAAAGGGAGCTGTCGTGATATTTATGGGCATGAGAATTATAGGACTGTAGCAAAGTGCATGCACCTGAATTGCATTCAATAATGATGGCTTTGAACCACTAAATTAGTATGATAAGAAATTCAGAAAGAGATACCCTGTGGTGTAGGCACTCATGCCACTGAAATTACTGCTAGCTTCTGAAACAGTATCGTCATCCAGATCATTCATTGACCTTTCCTCTGACTGAAGCTTTGCTGCCAGAAGTAATCTTCTCTGCCGAACAGCTAAATAACGAGCCAAGTACTTCCCTACCTTCTCCAAGCCTTCCTTGTATTCACTGATTAGTGTGCTTGCACAATCCAAAGCTGCATTCTTCACTGTCAATACCAGATTCTCTTGACTATGCATAAAAGCAACCCTCAAAGCCTCCTCCCAGTCCCTTCCACTAATTAACAAATTAATCCCGCTATTAACATCTCCCAAATACTCCAGAGCAATTTTGGCAGCCTCTCTTGGTTTACCAAGTGCTTGGAGCTCTTCAGAAAGATCATGAGCAAGTTGCATTATCTCATTTTTCCCCATTTCAAGGAGCCCAGCAACAGAAAGCACCCCACTCCAATTACCGCAAGCACGATATGCCTTCAAGGCATTTTTCAAACTGGAACAACACAGATAAGTTGTTGCGGCATCCTCAAAGCATTTCTCATCACTAAGATGATCACCCCAGGCCTCAAGGGCTTGCTTTTGTTTTGCAGGATCAGTAATCAATTGAAGACCCAGAGGAAATAATTGAGGATTTTTGTTCATGAGGTCCATACAATCTGAATAATAAGCGTCACCAGCAGAAACAATATGTCGGAGAGCCTTCTCAAACCGGTGTAACCGAAGGTCGATATTGTAGCTCATTATGAGGCTTGGCATGCGTTCTAATTCTTGTAGATAAGGAAGAAATTCCTTGGGGTCTCGTTGAGAGTTCAGTGCCACAATAGCTGCAAGGTTCAAATCATAAAGTCCCAAGGCAGCTTCGAATACAGCATCAGAATCAGATAACCACAACAGATGCTTTAGAGCTTCTTCAGCAGAAGGATAGGACATTCTCCTAGGGTCACTTGAACCTAATAATTCCATTTCACGAATAACTTTGATCCTTTCCAAAGCTTCTTCAAGCGCAGGAGGATCACTACGTGCCAGAGTGGTCAGAATACAAAGCTCCCTTGCAGGGCTTTCGGAGACTTGTTCCTCAAGAGCCTTCCTTATGGCCAGGAGCAGAGCAGAAACCTTACAGGAAGCATCAAAACCCATGACTTCCTTAGCTTGAACATCTCCACCTCCGTTTTGGTAGGGTGTAGAGATATAGTTTTTGTATAGAGTCTCCATAATGTTCTCGTTTTTTATGGAACAAATGAACTCAGTTATATAGCTCAAATTGTTAACCTGTTTGACGAATTCTGAAGCTGACTGAATAAAAGTTTGCCATCCACAATGGTCAACAATAACATTGAAATCTATTCTATGTTGTCTGACCAACAGCAGTGCATCCCTAAAACGCCTTTGGATCAAAGCATTGACAATTGAAGCAAGAACCAGCTTTCTAGGGTGAATGCTTTCCAGATTTCCCCGAGTTGTCTGTACAATAACAGCAGCAGCATCACCATGCAGGACACCAATAATTTTGGCACCTCTTTCCCAAATATTTATGAAGTTCATGTTTTCTTCTTTTCTTCTGTTACCTGAATGAACAAAGTTCTCATATTTTAACTCTAATTCTCCATGCAGTATATCACTGATTTCCACAGCAAAGAGAAAGTCTTGTTTGGTGGAAAGTATCAAATGTGTGATTACTTGATCAGCCAAATTAGAGTACAATGAGAAACTACTGCAGTTGTTGCATAGTACTTTCCCACCAAAATGCAGCCTCCCAATGTCATCAAGACCAAACAGCAAGGGCTTTAACAACCCACTGTCACTGACCTGAGCTGCACTCATCCAAGGGCAAGATGATGAAAAGCTCATGTCATCATGTTTTGTTGAACCTCCAGTTCCAGCAAAGCCCAATATTGATGCATACTCAACAATTTTTCCTCCATCAAACTGAACAAAAGCCGAACATTTCTTAGCAGGATTAGGAGCAATGCCAATCACAAGCCCTTCCAAATAGTTCCTATGGGAAATCCTTGCATGCCAGCCTGATCCAGTTACCAAACTTGGTACATGATCCTCGGAGCACACAAGTTCAATTTCCTGCAAATAGAAACCACTAAGTCCATCCTCACCCATTGAGCTGCGGGATGCACAATTACTTTGAGTGAAGCCATAATGCGAAACAGCAAGTAATATGTGAGAATCCAGCCATGTGAGGTGTACAAAGGATCCAAAACCTGTCTCAGAAATAGAAGCTTCAACACCAAATTCTTTTTCTTCAAGTTCCTCCCATGTATCCGGGTCAGGAAGTTCTACAACACCCAAAGAGCCATCTGATAAAAATGCAGCTACACTATTCTTAGAATTATTGGAATATAAAGCCAGGTCTCTTACTGCACTTGGAAATTTGAGGCTGAATAAATGAAGGGGAGGTGGCATCAGTGATAAGGAAAGTGGAGTTACAAGTATTTTGGAGCCATCAATGGCTAATGCTATTGAGTTCTCCACCACAGCAGAATTCCAGGCAAAGTTGTAGCTTGTGATCTGGCCTCCAAGGGTCCAACAAATAAACTGTAAAGGCTTTACTGGATCCCACATGAACCTCACTCCATCCTGTCTCGAGTATCTAATTTCATGTTTCAAATACCAATGATTGTTGCTGAAAAACCAGACCTTAACAGCATCGTATTTCTCACATCTAACAACAGATCCAAGAAGGTCTGAACTACAATTCCACTTAAGACTTTCCACCTTTGCATCCACTGCTTCTTTAATACTAAAAGAACTCCTCACCAGCCCATTCTTCTCATAGAAAACTATATCAGGACACCTATTCTCCACTTTCCTATCATACACAGCAGCAATTTTCGCTCCACTCGGCATCCATTCCAAAACTGCCCCCATAAATATCTTTAAATCCGATGTAGAATGCAACGCACCTGAATCACGTTCCCAAACCTTAATCCTCTTAAGCATGAGAGAAGAATCACTCGCTTCACTTATAGTCGCAAAATATTTCCCATCACCTCGCCATGTAACAGAACTCTCAAACATATCCTTGCCATCAAATTCACCTGAAATCCACAATCCAACCAATCCATGAAACCTTCAAAATCAATCTAGCCTTAATAACACAATCAAATTTTACAAAACACAATTAGCAAAACGACCACAGACGCGTGCTGAAATATGAAAACAGATAAGAGTAACAACAGAGAGAGGTCCTTACTTACGTCAAGACCAGCACCATCACCATCACCAACTGCGGTTTCATACAACAAATCCCAATCATGAGTCATAACTAGCATTTGTCGGAAACCAGTGAGGATAGCAAGCAAATCGCCGTCAGGACTCGGCGAGATGCACTTAACACCGCCATTGACTTGACCAACGATTTCAGTAGAATTATCATCAACATTATGCAATAATAAAAGACCATTTTCCGTTCCAATAATTAAGGCTTCTTTCTCCAGCAGATAATCAAATGCCGTAATTAAGTCTCCATCTTCCAATTCAATTTGATTAATCACCGACGACGCTAATAACAAGCTTTTCGATTTTCCATTCTGGTGAAACAAATAGAGAGAAATTTCTTAAATTTGTTTTGCGGGTGGGTGCAGAGTGTAAATAAAAGGAGTGAGAGAGCGCATACTTGGAAAGAAGAAAGATCAGCTGTGTAAATGAAATTGTTGGAAGAAGCGAAGAAGAGACGGTTGCGTTCGAAGTCGAAAGCGGAGAAGAGAAGAACTTCTTCTTGCGATTGTAATTCCAGATTCTGAGAGATCTCCGACTGTAGCTTCAGGTTTTTCATTTTTTTCCCTGCTGTTGCGAGCACAGAAATTCAGTGTCGACAGGTTCTAATGTTTTGTTACTTGTTAGGGTTTATCTAAACCTTGAACTCTGTTTAGTGATTCGATCAGCCTGGTGGCCGGGAGGAAACTGGCTGGGGCCGGCACGAGTGTTATTATTATGGGCTGTGAAGTTATTCAAATATGGGCTTGTTGTATTTTACTGGGTCGGCCTATGGGCCCTTCGGTCTTAGAAGATCGCTGTTTGACCAGTAGCAGTCTTGCTTTGACAGTGAAATCGGTCCAAATATTTACCATTTATTTATTCGTTTCGAGTTTTCACTGTCATGTCTCTTCATGCGGAGGAGAATTTACTTTGTTGGTAAAATAAATTTTGCTTCTTCCTTTCTTTTAAATGCATGAAATTGTTGTGCTTTTAAAATTATTTGAAAATAAAAATTAATCTTAGTTGATAAAAAAACAACACTGTTATTCTTGTTTGCTTGAAAGTTTGAGTTATATTGCAAATAATGATAGCTTGAAATTAAATGTTCAATAATTTAAAAAAGTATGGTTATTTAAAATTATGTTCAGTAATAAATTTCTTTTAGGCAAAAATCTCAACTTTTTCCAATTTGTAGTGATTTATGTTGGTGCATTCACGGTTTGCGTCCACCTGCGCATTTCTGCTTTCCTCGATTAGCAAACCAACACACAAAAAAGTTTAATGATACCATTTTTAACATAAAAAATGAAGAGAGTAAGGAAAAGCTAAAAAAACAAAAAAAACGCCGTACTTTTAAGTATGGTAAAAATTATGTTTTAAAATATTTTTTATTTAAAATTTAAAAATATATTAAAATAATATTTTTTTTTATTTTTACAAATTTAATTTTTATATGAACACATCTAAACAATTTAAAATTATAAAAAAATTAAAGAAAAAATATCAAAATAATCATCTAATTGCACTGCTAAATAATCATTACATATCTAGTATTCTAAAAGTCATACAAATTGAGTTAGTTCTTAACCATTCTTCTCCTCTCTAGAATCCTTTTCACATCTTTTTTGCATGTATTGCCTTCTATCTCCCGCTCATTAAGCATAACTACAAAGGACGTGGGATTTTTACTATGTAAGGTTTCAATGTTCATCTTCTTGTGTATTATTTGTAGATGGACACTGTAATTTTTTTAAAAATACTTGATTCTTAATTTTTTTTATGATTTAATCCTCATTAAAAATCAATTGATTTGAATATTTTATGAAAAGATAAAATTAAAAAAAATCAAAATAAAAAGAGTATCAAACTTGAATAGCATGTCATAAGTCTCCTAAAAGAAATACTTTGGTTATTGAACTTTAAAAATCACAAAAAATATATAATTTCAGGACCTCAATATTTTTTTCAATTTAATTTTGATATAAAAATTTATTTTTGTTCTTTTTAGTCCATGTTTAAGAAAAGAGATAGAAGTTATTAGATTTCAACAATAAAAAAAAAAATATTGTTAACACCGATTTAGGCTAGTAAAACAAACAATATTTGTATCAAATAGTCATATTTGTATCAAATAGTTATATTTGATAAGAAAAATTCATTACTTTTAAAGTTTATGAAAAAACAAACTTGAGGTTGGTTGATTTTTAGATTCGAGTTGATTTTGGTTTTTAAGATAGTTTTTTGAGGTCACAAATAAATTTATCACAGTTTTTATAATATCTTACAGGTGTTTTGGATTAAAATGAGTTGAAAAATAAATAAAAAAAACTTAAATTCTGATTTTCAAGCTATCATAATAGTTAAAATTTAAGCAAATCAGCTAATATATTGTTCATTTTTTTTCTAGATAAAAAAATAAGGGCCCAATTGCACCAACTTACCAGTGCAAGCTCGCGCGTGGGCTTGACAAAATGAATTATACCTATGTACATGGCCTTTATTGTTTTTTCTAAATTTTTTTTAAATTAATGGTTGTTTTTTTATGTTTTTTCTTTAATTTCTCTAATTTATATTTAAACTACCCCTTCTCCCTTTCTTTTTTTTTATTCTGTTCGGTGAGTTTCTTTTGAAGAACAATTATTTTGTTAGTTATTCATTTAAATTTAAAGAGTTGTTTTGATTTATTTATATTTTTTTAATCTTTTGTATGGATAAACTTTATTTTTGAAGAAAATTTCAGATAATATTTCTTATATATGTAGCTTTGCATAATATTTTTTATTATTTTATTTGATTAATTTAATTTATGTTTCTATTTCTATCATCATTTATTCAAATAAATAAAATTATTTAATAACCAAATTTAACAAAAATAACTAGGTGAATCTTTTAAGATTAAATATTTTGATTTACATCTATTTCTTGTATTTATTTTTAAATATTTTTAATGAATTTTTATCTATTTATTTACATACATGATTTCCAATTTATTTTATTATATATATGCATTAAAAAATGTTATTTGAAATTAGATTTTTTAAAACTACAAAAATACGTTGACTCCGATTAACCGCATAAAAAAATAACTAGTTTTAATTGAAACCCATAGGTTGTCCTCTTGTCGAGGATGCACGTTATAGATTTTTCTTTAGAGAATCAAATTCACATCTTCAGAGGGATGAAATTCAGAATCAGGAAGATAACTACTTCTGTTATGTAAATCAATGCTTATTAAAAACACAAAAACCTCGAAGTTGAGTATGATTATCCTCCCAAGGATATGATCCTATGTTAGCACTGACAATTTCCTGAATCAAATATAGTTTGATCCCTTGCGTTTAACAAGGTTCTAGTGCTTGCTCCGTTAAAAATTAAAAGCCAGTCTGTATAACATTTCAACTGAAGTAAATTTGACATTTCCCCCTCCGTTTTTTTTTAATTGTAAAAGAAATATTTGAACTCGAATCTTTTTTTTTTTTTAAAGGGGCAAACAATATTATTGAACTCATTGTCTAGAATGTTTTCACTGGGCATACGTATCACATATACTATTATTCAATGAAATCCCAGTAGCATTCAATTACTTAAGACAGATCTACCACATAGACCATTAAGAAAAGAAAATGGCATTGATGCTCTATCTTCTTCTTCAACTTCTTTAGAAGGAACGAGAGGAGGTTCAAATATGCTAAAAGCTCTATATGCTGAGGTTAGAGCTAAGATAATAAAGCAGGCAAGAGCCAAAACATGGAGAATCACTGTACCTTCATTCTATAGCAAAACTTCCCATAAGAAGAGAGGGCTTCACTCCACTGTAAGTCAGGTATAATATCTCTAAGACGGCAGTCCCAGATGCAGCCATCAATTAAGCTACAATCTGCTCAAAAAACACCAAAACAGTGAGTATAAAGGAAGTGAAAGAAAGTTCATTGAAAACAATGATTAATTTCCTCGGAAAATTTTTAAACACTGGATTTAGTTATGGAACTAGAAAGTAAAACCTGGTCAGAGACAAAGAACAGCCAAGCCTTTGTAGCAAAGCATCTGATCCATGTGGAGACAGCAGCAAGAAAAGCATAACTAGCACAGATTCCACTAACAAAAAACATGTACCTGCAAAATAATTAATTCTTCCACAATTTATCATCATACAAATACAACATAAACAAGAAATAAGGAAGTAAAATGACAAAGCTAATTTTAACGAATATTTTGCAGAAATCACTTCTGATAAAATCTCATGCATCGAATAAATGCATACGAGTAATGCTAATTTTAACAAATATTCTTGCCGAAATGACTAATAAGTGGGTATTATTAGAAGATCTCATAAATCCAAAATTGAAACTTTTGCAGGAAGTAATATACGAGGAAGAATATTTCGGTAAGATTAGCATTATCAGGACAAGAAAATGAAAAGAATATTGTTGTATTTCAAATTACCATATATATATATATATAAAAGAAAGAGATTAGAATATTGTAGAGGAAATTGCGGTTAGTTTTTAAATAATATTTTATGTTAAAATATATATTGATTATTTTTTTTTATTTTTTTAAAAATTATTTTTAATATCAATATATCAAAATAATTTAAAAACATTAAACATATATTAATTTAAAGTAAACAAAAAAATAAAATTTAATTAATTTTTTTAAAATATTTTTAAAACACACAAAAAAAAGAAAAAGATTCGGAGTCCTCCAGATAATACCTAGCAAATAAATACCATCATTGCAGCCCGTAGATAAGCAAACCCCACTGCTTCTCACTCGTCCCACCTGCCGCAGTTCCAATGCCTCTTCACATTCTTTCCATGCATGTCCTTTTCATACCAGAAGCCCGATTGCAGCATATCTGTCCCTATATAAGCACCGGTCTTATTTCAAAACGATCCTCATTCTCTCTTCCCCTAGTTTCCCTGCTGGGTTAAATTTTTTATTTCTTACTCGTAGCTCAAGTAGATTTTGAGTCACTCACGAGATATGGCTCATATGCTCAAGCTCTTAGATTGTTCTCTTAGGCTCCCTGTAATCCCTCTTAGTGTTGCAACCATGTGGTTTCCTGTTACCAACAAGCAGGACAGTAGCAGCTATGGTGATTTTAAACAATTTCAAATATTTTCGAACCATTTCTTTAACCTACCTCTAACCTATTGACTGATATAACGAGTTTCAAGAGTTGTCATTTTCAAAACAACCTGAGCACCTGTCTTCTAAACTTCAGAGCATGTACATTGTAAATTGTAAACTGCACTGATTCTGGTGACTGGTGAATCAAATGAGATGGTGCACGTGACAAGCATTTTGAAGATGCAAAGTTAACGACTCAGCATCAATAATAGAATTCAAAAGATGAATTATTTTATCATAATCTACAAACAATCATGGAAAACTCTATAAATTCAATAAAAAACCTGCTATTTTATGAAACCAAAGGTAGCAAATCATGGCCAAATCTCAGCACTCATTCAGGAGTTTCATTGGCCATGGCAAACTGACAAAAAATGGCATCTCCGAGCACATAAAGAATAAATAAGATGTCCTAAAATTGTATTGCACCTGTCTCCACTCTCCTCTCCAAAACAGAGCAGAACCCAGTGGCTAGAAATTCTTTCCCAACTCACCTCTCGTTACTTTCTGGCATACACAGGTTCCTCTACGTCCACCCTTAAACTGTCTCTTGCCATCCATTTGCTTCCTCCTGCGATAGGGACGAAAGCTATTTTCAGAATTCTGCTCTCCCGAAAGCATTCGCCCTTCTCCACAACTGTGTTGAGCCTCCTAGACGCTCTCAACAAACTCGCACATTCCACCACAACTCCAATCAAATGAAGGGAGATAACCAAAGGGCTTACGTGAAGTCAACCATCCATTGCATTGAAAAATATTCCCAATCCATTCCCTATTTCTCAAGCCATACGAGATCTTTTTCTACAATCCACCATACAAATAGAAAGGCAGCAGAAGACCACTACACCCAGAAGAAATTGAATGCAAGAACAAGAAAGTAATGGCAACAGAGAGGAAACTATCAAAATGATGACTCCTTTATAATGAAACTATAATCTTTCCAACTATGTGAAATTGTGAATTCTACGGTACAAAAGAAAATTTTTTTGGGAAGAAATGTAAAAACGACAACAGAAAAGGAACAAAACAAAGAATGACAAGGCTGGAAAAAAAGGGGGCTGAAAACCTGATCTATTAAGTAACTTCGCAAAACATAAGCTAAAACCTATCCTTTCATCAGTGTATCCTGTGTATATTTCTATAATTCCTAGTTTCAGAACTTCATCAACATTTTACAGTGAACAAGCACCCAGAACAACTTGTCCAGGATCGTCATGCAACCCAGCACACCATCTACAGACTTGACTCCTTCCCCATTCCTAGGGTGTCAACCAGCAAAACTGGCCTCAATTATCTCTTCAGCAGAACTAACTCTATCAAACTGACAGCTATCTTTAAGAAAAAGACATCAACCAACTTCAATACCCCTCTCTCTAGCTTTTTGGATAACAGTGCTTGCATATCCTCTACTCTTTGATAGATTATAATAGCAACTCCATAGCTTCATAGAGAATGGATGTGCAGATAAAGCTTTCTTGTAAAACCTGTCAGAAATTAACTCGACACCAGAAATATCACCCAAAATACCTGCAGCTTCAACCCACACAAATTCCGGTGGCACTGGAATAGCATGAAAGATTGCATCGACCAAGATTGAGCACGCCCAATATAGAACACTGTCAGAAGTAACATTAATATTGCTGTAGCCTCTGCACAAGAGCTTGCAAACAGAAAGAGCTATTGGGTAGTTGGATGGCACCATCTCTAAGATGGCTTCAACAAAATCCACCAATTCCTTTGGCTGGTTTGACTTTGGGGGTAAAAGAGAGGGGCCATACCACACTTCAAGAACAAGATTCACCAAAGAAAAGTCAGATGAAACCGGACACAATATGCTACTGATTAGCTGCTGAACTTTTGGCTTCTCAATGTTGTCAATGAATCGTCTAGATAATGGTTCACAAACTGGGAGAGCTTGGGTATCATTCAAATAACCATTCAAAATTTTCAGTTTTTCACTGACAGGAGCATCCTTCCTTAATTTTGGCTCATGGTTTAGCAAGAACATAGCATGCTCTGATAAGCAATGTCTGATGTACTGTGGAGGTGCAGCCTTCAGTGCTCTGTCAATGGCAACGTGAGCTTCGACGTGGTCATTGTGCAATAATTTAGCAAGAGATAGATTAATTAATCCAAACATCATATCCATCTGATTAGAGTTGGGTATCAGAAAGTTTGGATTTGATGCTGAAGCTGATTCCAGTGATCCAAGTGAGCTATTACTATCCACCGCATCCAAAATCTCATTTTGAGGATATTGAACTTTTGAAACAGAGTTAAACCAGCAGACAGTGAGTTCTTTTGCAAAATCAGGACCTTCTTCTTGGAGGGCACACTCAATATACTGATTCCAGATACAATGAATTCCAGGGACTTCTTTTGGCCAATTACTAATGGCTTCCTCAAACCCTTCAAAGCTCACACTGCCTGGGCCATTTTTTTTAAGCCTTGCTGACAGGAGAACAAGTTCTACACAGGATGGGTACAACTTCGTATACTTGTCCAACAAATTCTGACAGCAAGCTAAGCCATCAAAAACTAGTGTACACCTAATATGGCTGAGAGCAAACTGTTGCGCCATTCTGCCATTTTTGTCACTTTCAAGTGATTCACTGTTGACAGACATTTCAACAGAATCCACTGCCATCTCAACTAGCTTAACAGCCCTCTGCTTCTCTTCATTTGGTAAGTGAACATAAGGCCATTCAATTGCAAGGAGTTCCTTGTCACATTCAAAACATTGTACAATAGCATCAGGTAACTTCCTGTAAATAACTAAGTACACACAACAAACCCAGAAGATATATTTGTCAGAATTTGTTAAGCATGCGAGGATATCAGAGAGCAACAGAAAGTGAGGCTCATCTGAGTTAGCTGCCACAGGGAAGAGTCCTTGGATTTTCTGAATGGCCTTGCCAACATTCCCAGACATGCACAAACAATCCATCATCTGTAAGAACAAGTCTAAGATGCATGCACTAGCATACATATTGCCCTTATCAAAAGCAGATGCCTGGCGACAAAGCGCTGTGAGAGCAGCATTATATGCTACCAGTCGATCATCAAGATGTATACGACTGTTGATGTACATGAGCCAAAGTCCATAAGATCTTTCGTTGTTTTTAACCTGAAGGACAAGAGGAAAAGGGTTTCCATACAAAAGTTTGCATTCTGTCAAGTAAAAGGAAGAGAGAGGAAGGGATTTAAAAGACAAGATGAAAATGTGACCCAGTTTTAAACAATGACAACATTGAATAGCAGGCACATTCACATGGAACAAAGGCATAAGCACGTACACTAATCCAACCAAGCCCACATCTGATCTGTTTTCATAACGGAAACTTGATGGAAAGAAGGTTCCCTCATGGGAAAAAATAGCTGAATTTTAAAAACTGCTCCCCTCTTTTTTTGAAAACTTCAACCATCACAAATGACTTGAAAAGAAAGTAACTGGTAGAATTTCAGCCAGATTAGGCTAGTGACATCATCTAATTACAGTTTGGAAAACTCTTTTACTTCGATAGAACTTGCACGTGCAAAACAGGAGGCTACGAATAAAACTTGACTTGCAGAGGCTGCTTTTCACTTCTATGAAATAGATTTGTACTACTGAAAGCATGGAACTGTAGCTTAATTATACTTGCAAATCCAGAAAGCGTTTGACCAGTCTCAGAATCTCAGTTTCAAGAGCAATTTTCTGGAGAATAGCTAGGTCTAGTTCCTAAATTTTTATAACATACCGCATAGGAGAACATGTCATCCTTCCCAACAGACTCAATGTTGCTGTAGTAAATGAGCAGATACATCATCCACAGAGCTTCGGATGTTGGATCAGCCTCAATTGCTCGTGACAGCATGGAGAGAGGCTGTAGAACAAAGGTTTAGGACGGTAATTAGAAGTTTCTGAACAACAAGGATACTACAAGTAAAAACAGAAACCACATACTTTACCTTCTTCATACCCTCCAGCTTGTAAACCTCCTGACAGAGAAAAACAAGAGCCATTTCATGGGACTGCAAACTGCTGGCTAATGCTTGATTGAGATGATTCTAAGTATACATCAAGCAGGAAGAACAACATAAATGAGAGGATGAACCAAGAAGAAAACAGCAAAAGACTATAATGGTAAAACATAAAGCAAATATGGCAATAAATAAAATATGAAGTGGATAAGGAAATATGTAATGGAGGCAGACCTATGCAAGCATAATATATGCTGCACAGAATTATAATTGTTTCAGAAAAAAATAATAATGAGAATAGAATTGACAACAGGAATCTTTTATATGCGCTGCCTTCCCCTCTTCCTTTCACTAGATCAAGAGAGGAGAGAGATTCCTCAGCGACAAGGTTTAGGATGCAATGAAACAGAAATAAATGCCTGTGACTTAATGTCGTAATTGGAAAATAGAACACAAACACACCAATCAGAGGAGGACAGTAAACCAAATCTTCACACTTGCATGCTACATTCTTAAAAGAATGTTCAAATAGACACAGCAAGATAGCAAAGTCTCCAGCACAAACCATTTGAATCAAACCAAGAAGAGACACAATTCACTAAGCAAATTTTCATAACTCAACCAAAATTATATGAAGGATAGGGAAACACATGACAACATGAGTTTTGACAATACATGTACTATAAGATCTATGAATAAAACACCACAAAAATATATTCCCACCAATGGCTTGTACTTAATTGAAGAGAATACCAAGACAAAGTGACTACTGAGCATTAATGTTACTGACAAAACATCTTGGCAATGCAACAAAAGCAAACAATCAAAGATAAACATTATGCCAGGAATACAGAAAACAGAAATAAACAGACCACTGTGTTCTCTCTACTCTGAAAGTATGATGTCTGTCTATTCCAACTCCCATGGACCTCGATACGGCCATCATCAGCACAGATAGAAGACTGATCAGCAAGCAAATCTTTTTGAAAGAAACTTGATAAAGCTAAGCAAAGACTGAACTGTATTTGCCAGCATTGCCCATTTCTCCGTGCAATGACAGATTTATATGAATCGGATTTTAAAACATCCAAGCCAACAAGATAAGTTGGTGGATTCAATACACTGTGACACTTGGTAAGTTTTGTTCCACCTTTACATTTTTGTTCATGCAGTGTTAATCCAACCTGACAATCTGCACAAGCATTGTTTTACAGTTGTAAGCAGCAATTCAAACTATTCAGAATTGTCAAAGGAATAGTCATACCAGCACTATCAGAATCATCATGCTGATTTGGATGCACATTTTGATCAGAGAAATCCCTAACATGTTGCCAAGGACATTCATCATTGTTGCATTTTCCTCGAAGCTCATACATGCATAGTGGCCAAAATGGGTCAACTGCCACATTGTGGGTAAAAGTCCCAATTTCAGTTCCACGTAAACCCCTTATAATCTCCTCCTTTGACTTTGCTATCACGTTGTCACACTGGATTTCTTCAGTGTCCATAAAACCATCCTCTACAATGAAATCACCACAGGTATCATTTTGTTGGTTTTTTCTACATTGTGATTCTATCAAAGTCATTGGGTACATAGCTTTCATTTGAGCAAATGCATTCCTCAATACTAAAAGAGGTGAAGATATGACAGAAGTTGTCAGCTGATGACCTCCAGTGGAATCGTCCTTGGAATCAGCAGCAGAATGAAAATTCTTTTCATGGCTCTGAATCTGGACAGGAAGCTCAGATATACTTATTTCAGGCTTATCATTGCCTGCATAGAAGGAAAATTACTGAAAGTTTTTCAAGAAAGAAAAGGAACAATAAAATGAAACAAGAATCATATAGAATAAAATATCTACATACTCAAATTACTTTACCACCAACCATATTAAGTCTATCTCTTCCCTTTATACGCGTTCCAATTTGCATGTCCACAATGAAAAGGTCATAAACTCTTTATAAGATTCCACTGTGTTGTAGTTATTTAAGAATCATACTATCCCTCCTAATGAGGATAAATTTTGGAAAACACCAGTAGAAGATTTTTTCCAGTTATTGCTGACTGCTAAAAACTTGAATTAAAATGAAATGTGGCATTCCTCAATGGACAGAATCTTCAAATTCTCAGAATTCCTCTACTCATTTAAGTTTGCCCAGTAATTTCAAACTAGAAGCAGTTTTCATCAATCTTCAGTGCTACAAGTTTGAAACAGTTCTCATCAATATTCAGTGCTACATGCAAAGAATAAAGAGCAATATCATTATATAGCACGATCTAGTTATCACATTCCCAAATGCTAAATTATACTAATATGTTTCAGGTTCAGCTAGTTACAAGACTCCCAGTAAACCACGCACATAATAGGGGACAAAGGAAAGTATTATAGCAAGAAAAAGAATTTGACATGACCAAAAGGCATTTGTTTTACACAACGAGTCATTTGAATCTATTTGCTAAACAAGTTCACTAGGAAAGACTGAATTTTACATTAACATATGCAGTAAGTTGCAAGAACTACATTTATCATATTTGTGTGTGCATGAGCATGAAAATTGCCACATACGAAGATAAATGAGGCAAAAAAGCCAAAACAACCATACAACTGCACAAATATCAATATCAGCAACTGGGATAATTGATCAACTCGACATTCAGCGTGGTTCCAAAAGCAAAATAATTCAAGACCAAAAAACTGCTTAAAATCTATTTCTACTGTGAGAAAATTACCTTCAAGGTCATAATCTCGATCCTTTTCTGTCTCTGACAATGGTATACTGACATTGCTTCCCTGGGTTCTTTCACTTCTGTTGTCAATTTCAATCCCTGGTTCATCTGCAGGATCCATGTTGGATGAACCACCATTCTTTGAACAGGTTCTGATTGGTAGACGAGCAAATAGTTTGGATCTTAATTTTGCTTCAAGAATCAAAGAATCCTGAGGGCCATCAACATAAAAATCTTTGTTTGGATGACAATCTGTGTGGCTTTCCCTTCCCACAGAATTTTGATCTCTTCGCTTAATTTTAAAGATAGGTTGATCAGTCTCATGGTCCAATGGAAATGTCTCTTCATCTTCCCCAGCTGAAATATTAGAATAATTGGATTGAGAGCTTACTCCATTTGCAGCAATCAGGCTGTTGCGGGGCAATGGCTCTGATGTACTAGCATCAGGTTCACTGCATGGCTCGGATCCCAAACTATGGCCATTTACATGCTGATAAAGTGAATTTGAGGGAGCACCAGTGACTGAATCATACACTGGCTGATTACAACCATTATACTCAGGCTGCATCTGATCGCTTGATGAGGGTATTAAATCCACATTTCTAGATACATTATTTTCACGGTCCATCCCAATGCCAACATGTTCATGCTGCCTAGAGGGAAAAAACAAACTGGAATCATTCACAATGAGAGATCGAAAGTGAGCTGAGTGCAGTTCCCTCTTGCGATAAAGTTCTGTACATCTAGAATTAGCCTCAATCAAAGCTCTCTGTGCTTTTCGATAAGCTTTAAGAGCATTTCTTTCTTCAATTTCACATTTGTGTCTGTGCTCTTGTTCTTCTTCCAGCTCCCTGTCTAAGGATTCCTCCATTTCAACTAACAACTGAATATCTATGCTGTTATGCTCTGCCACATTTACAGTTCCCAGACAATTCCAAGGGTTTAAATTCAGAGATGCCTGTGAACAAGAATAAATGCAAGTCCAACAAAATAAGAGGAGGCAAGGAATGCAGGAGGAGTTCAAGAAACTTTAACATGATAAATCAAAGGCGATCATTTTAACATTTGATACAGGTAACATACTTGACAGGACAGCTTATCACCAGATATGCCTTGCAAGTGCTCACAGCTGTTTATTAAATTCTGTCCACTAGTTGATGTCTTTAACAAACAAGCTGGTGGCTGGGTTCCGCAATTCTTTACAGGATTCAAGTCAACACTCTTCTGGAAGTTACTTTAATATCAGTACAGGAATGAGGGTGGCCCCAGAGGCAAAATTTGCATCCATAATTACACAAGGGAAACAGGAATAAAAGAGTTCAACAACAGAAAGGGAGAAATTGTGATGAAAACAACACCAAGTCAACTAATTTTCTCGTTGTTAACTTACTCTCTTCTTCAATAAAGTACTAGCATTTGCATTAGTCAGCAGTGGGGTCTGGTTTGATACCACACAGGGATCCATCTGCATTCTGCTCATGTCAGGCTGACTGGAATTATCATTGATGTGCAAAGCTGTGACACATTAAAATGCTGATTGAAGTAAATAATAGATTACACCATGGAACACTATTTAAGAAAAATAACAAAGCTTCCTTGATCTTTCAACCCACCAGGTAGCTTTGCTGATGAAATATCCACCCTCCTATCTTGCCTCTCCCATTTAACTACACTCGACTCTGTTCTTATTGTCGGTCTTTCTTTCTTGTTAAAATAACCCATATTTCTATCCTGCAAACTACTGTTCTCCAGCGCTTGATCTTTTGACAGTAAATTAGATTTCTCTACAAGCATCTTTTGTTGGCCATCTGAATTTAAGTGTTTTGAATAAGATCCATCAGGTTTTATGCGTTTCCTGTCCGGTTCTTTTGGTGCTAATTGCCCAACTTCAGAAGAAGCTGCATTAGATTTCCTGGTCACACTACTGGAAATGTTCATACACTTGTCGGAAACTGAACCTGATTCCTTGTTTTGTGCAGCTGCCTTAAGCTTCAGTTCCCTTTCCCGAAGTGCAATCTGCTGCCTCAAGTCCTGAACCTTAGTGCTGTTCAAATCCACACCTTGCTCAATACCATGCTCTTGGCTTGCTAGATTTCTTTTGATGGAATTAATATTTTTTACTTGAGAATCTTGCCCAACAGACAAGGAGTCAGCACCCTTGGAATTGGCAACTCCATTTATCTTTGTCATTGACGAGTTAAATGTGCGACTCATTGATGATTTCTTGGGAACACGGTTCACATTTCTAGAAGTCTGCAGTGACGTGCTTGATTTTACCGGTAAAAAGGAGGGCAGCCTTCCATTTCCATTAACCACGGTTGTATTGGGTTTAGTTTTTAAAGGCTTGTCACCTCTATCTTCAGATTCACTCCCACTTTCATCATCTGAAAATCTTATCACCAAGTTATCATTAGCCCCTGAAGATGCACACTTTCCAGGATTAGCAGATATGCGTGGCACCCTATTCTTCTCAAAGCTCTTGTTATTATTTGGTTGTGATGTTTGGAGATTCAGATCAACATATCTTGCGGGATTAGTGCTAAAAATGGCCTTGCCTGTGGAGGAGAAATGGCTGCATTAAAAAGCACTCTACAGCAGGATGTCTTGTCCTTAGCATCAATTAAATACATCACCAATTCTTTCTAACACACAAATGTTGCAGCTAGGTAAAAGTTGGCAAAACAAAGTAGTAGGGAAATCCACATGTGACTGAGTTACAAAACAACATAAATGACATTTATGCATCATAGAAATTAGATTGCATGGAGTGCATGACTTAAGTTGGTCGAGGTCCTCCTCTATGTGCGATAAATCAATAGCATTTTGTGATTTTAGATGCCTCTCATTCGGTAAAAAAAAAAGAAGAAGAATTCTTTGATTATTAATTGGTGGGAAAATATTAAACTTCAAACTTTTTTTAAATGGTATCTTATATGCATAGATAATCTTGGAAAAGCTGAGAATATAAGCTTTTGTGTAAAGATACATACAGGTATCTTTATACGCTTTGGAGTCAATTGGCTATGGGGTAAATGATATATTATTTTTCATCATAGATGTGCCAATTGAGAAAACTTCCTTAGCATGGAAGGCTACATGTAAATATAGTCATATATAAGTATCATGAACGTAATGTTCAGAGCAAGTGGCAAAAACTAGCTATTGATGCATCAGCTAACAGATCAAAACAGAAGTGAGAAACACCACTCTTCATGAAAGATTCACAAGCTAAAGTATTATTATAACATAAATCCAAACACAAACTTGGCAGCTGAGAAATATATATAGGAAACCAAGTTCCTGCAATCAGATGGAAAGCCGGACTTACCAGCCCGATTGGATAAAGTGAATTTGTTCATCGGATGAAACGGAATGGTCCTTGAGGAAGCAGGTGTGTTAAAAGCATCGGCAAACAGTGCAGAAGAGCCAACAGGATTTTGCTGCAAGAAAGAAAATCAAAATTCATTTTAACAAGTTCGACTAGAAAAGAAAAGGTTGAGCCACTAGAACTTCATTCATACAGCCAACATTGCAAATGTAAACACATTCAATTGATGGAACCTACTGTAGTAACTTCAAAATAAATAAAACATGTGTTGAACAACAAGCAAATCCCATGATAATCATAAGTGCCCTAATTGCACTTTGCATAGCTGTAGTGGAATGTGGTAACAAAATAAAGTGATATGTAATTATTCAATTCTCCCTAAGTTGATACTCTCCCTCTCACACTTACAAGAACACATGTACGTGAGCAAGGGAACACCAAATCAATGAGAATAATTCCACATAAAAGGCCATGTGATTCTACTTCATAAAATCAGTTTTTAACAAAACAAAAAGGACATGTATGGCAAAATCAACGACCACATAATACAGGTAGAATACAGGTGATCTGCGGACAGATTCATTTTGGTACGATGAAATATTCAGATCTCCCAATGTTGATGCTCTCTCCCTCCCGCACAAACACTTGAGACCTATAAATGGTTAATTTGATGGAGACGGAAAATATGTGCAAAAGGAAGTACCAACTCCGCAAAACCATTAAAGCCTGAGGCATCATTGCCACGAGCATAAATAGAAGGCCACATAAATCTATATCGTAAAATTGATTTCCAACTGAATGTAACAGACACGTATGGTAGAATAATAACTGTACAGTACAACCCATCGCAACTGCATATAACAAACTGAAAAACCTAATTATAAACCATCTATATGCATTGCTGAAACACTGTGCACAAGCGAAATCAAATAGACTTGTAAATGAGTAAATCTTCGGTTTCTCTTGATGTAGTAAATTGCAGTCAACTAAACCCTGAGACAAGTTGCCGACTCAGAGGAAGCAGCTGGTAATCAGAACACAAATTGACAAATCCGTCAGTAAAATAATTTTCTTTCCTTTTTCTCTGCTTTCTCATCAACCAAACAGAAGCCTGATCTATTGCAAACAAAAGTAGCAGCTAATTTATATCAGCTAACAGATGCAGCTAAAAATTGACACAACAAACTGAAACTGCGAATTTCTCATCGGGAATTGAAAATTTCAAAAAAAAAAAGGAAAACCAAAACAAGGCATGAGAAGTACGATGAGCAAACAAATTCATTCTCATTTCACTTACTTTGACTGTTTTCTTGGCAATCAAACAGATAAAGAAAAATGCATTGAAAACAGAAAAGAGTTAGGGTTTCTTAGGGAGGCAATACGTCGTCGTTGGATGAAGAAGAGACCTCTCCTTCTTCTCTTGTTTTGGTCGAGAACTCTGGTTGACTAGGGTTATTTGACGCCATTGATTTAGTCTTTGTATTATTAAATAATACTATTCTCAATTATCTCTTTCTCGCTCTAAGAACCCTCTTCTTTTTTTAATGATTCTCACTCTCTAGAAAAATCGACGTTTTGATGGGCCATGTGGAGAGGGATAGGAAGAGGAAATCGAGAAAACGAACTTGAGGGCGGCCTGATGTGATGAGTACGTGGCTAGCTGAAGTGACGAAGATGTACTTGTTGTGTAGAAGAATTACGGGATCTGTTCTTGCTTTACTTGTTGCCGTCCCTGATACGGAGGGCAGGTTGGATTTGTTGCGTGTGTGTGTGGGGGGGTAATTTTTTGAAGAGAAAAAATCCACGTGTAGTTGACACGTGAATTTACGTTAAGTTTGCCCTGATTCCTAACGGGGTTAAAAAACGTACATGGAAAACCAGAAGGTGAGGCAGTAAGTTTAGAAAGGGGAACATGGTGAGTTCTTTCCATGAACAGGGGGGGCGGGGCCATCCACGCTAGTTGTATTAAAGACGGTGTTTCAAATTGTAATAGTTTCTGTTTTTTTTTCGAAGTATTTTCGAATTAATTTTATTTAAAAATATATTGAATTGATATATATTTTTAATGTTTTTTTAATAATTTTAATTTATTAACATTAAAAAAATACATAATTAATTATTTTAATATATTTTAAAATTAAAAATACATTTAAAAACATGTATTATATTACAATATCAAACACACAATAAAACATCAGCAATTTAAAATATATAAATAACACCTACATATAAATTATTATTTTTACTATACTGTTTTAGAAAAAACTTTTCATGCTGGAAAAAACTCCCGGTTGAAAACATTAATGAGTTTTTGTTTTGCTTGTATGGAGTCGAATGAGATTATAAATTATGCTGATTATTTGGGTAAATTGCAATGATCATGTTCGAATTTTATAGTGGTTTTAGCTGGATTTTGTTTTTAAACAGAGGAGATTTTATTCTTCGAAGCTTAGTTATGATTACAGAGCACATATACAGGTAAAACAGACTTTATAGATAAACTGGAGGAAAGCGTATTCAGCCCGAGATCCATGTTAGTTGCAAAAATTCATTAGCCCAGAGCACGATGTTAAAATCTTAGATAAGCCAGTCAAGACCAGTCAATTGCATGGATTTTCAATTATATACCAGTCAAGAGCCTGCGTCGAGGCATGAATCTATATAGTTTTTCACAGGTTATTGTGTTGTGTTATTTTATCATTTAAAGTTTGTGTGTTTTACATGAACGACGCAAAAATTTTAGATAAGCCAGTCAATTGCAATTATATCACCCACGCAAAAATTAGGCACGTTTAACGAAACATTCGTGCCCTCCAAAAACCCCATGCGGATGCATATATATATCACCCACACTCTTCTTCAACTCTGTTTCATTCTACAGATGCACTGAAATCCAAAACAAAGGAGGATAAATTTCCCAAAATGTCCAGCGTACTGGACATGTCTGGACGATCTCATCCGCAAGAGCAAAGATCATGAGGGCATAGCAGTGATTCCGGAGGCAGAGGCTAGGGTTCGGTTTTGGGTGCAGAGCCTGATAGTTGGCTCGCCCGTTGTAACGCAACCCGACCCAAACCCTACCCTGTACGACCTGCACAGGTAATGCAAGTACAGCAGGAGCCAATATTGTTAGCAGCAAGTGATGGGTCTGATGGAGAGGCTAAATTATAAATATAAAACTGGGATCATGGTGTTTCCAATGAGGATATTAAGTTACTTAAGTTATCATTTCCTTGCTTATTTATGTGAATTTTTTAAAAACAAAAAAAAAGTATTATTGATTGTGGGTTAAGGGGTTTACGTAGATTTGATATTTTTACGGGTAATGCTATTTTTATGAGTTATACAAGCAATTTGGGTTTGTCTAGTCTGCATGTTAAGAGCTAGTTATCTTATTTTCTGCCGTTGGGCAGGCAAAGGTAGTGTGGAAGAAAGTTTTGATATTTTAAAATTTCAATCTCTTACACGTGTCTCCTTTAAGGCTCATTTTAGAAAAATCCCAGTGATCTTGGTGATGCCTTTTCTTTTTATGAGTTTTTGGAAAGATTCACAGCCTTTACCTGACAGCAACAGGGCATTTGTGCTGATCGTGAATCTGCAGTCATGAATGATGATGTTGAGGTTTGGGGTATTATGGGAATGTACGTGTGCAGTAGCTAAGGCCGTGATGGTATAGTATAAATTGCTGTTTGGCATCATACCGCTTGAAAGTAGCTTTTGAGATGGCTTTAAGAATCTTGTTATGATCATTGCTGTAGTTCTTTCATGACGATGATAAAAAAAAAAGGCAGCAGGACACTTTGTTGTCACGTGTCCTATAATCGAGGTCAGTCTGCTTAAATCATACAAGATGCTGCAGTTTAGGGACCGTAGATGCATCATTTAACATAAGGTACTCCCTATGCAGGTGATTTTTCTCCGAGGTTGGTGATTTGTTGAGGTACTCGCTTCATTATGATATGCGTGGGAGATCAAAGGTATCTTAGATTGATGTTTGACTCTCTCTTTTTTCCTTTTCTTTTTTCCCTGGAATTATTAGTGTCTTCCTGTGGCTGGAAAAACTTCACTCTTTCAGGGAACAGCCGAAGTTGTATTTGCACTCCAAACAGATATTCTAGCAGCTATCAAGAGATACAATAATGTTCAGCTTGATGGGAAGCCCCTGAAAATTGAGCTTGTAGGGGTTAATGTGATAACTCCTGTCCCTGTGCTTGTAACAACAACTACCAACTTGGCAAAACCAAATAATTTCATTAGAAGGTACAACCTTGCTGGTGATCATTCAAACTTAGAACCAATTACTTTCATGCATTCACTGGGTCCTTTCCTTCTAGGTGGGAAGGGCAATTGAAAATAAGTTTTCTAGTAGATATGCTGAGACATCGAGTATGATTTTGCTGTATGCATTTCTGTTTGCCAGTTTTTGGTCTTTTCCTGGATGATGACACTATATATATATATATATATATATATATATATATATATATATAGAGTTCTTT